AAGACTACTTAATTGCCAACTTTTGGAGTGTGTCATAGCACTTAGGGACTATTATAACTAGACATAAGTTTATCGATGAATAAGCTACTCAAAAATATTTTTTTAAAACTCAAGGATTATTAATTTGTCTTAAGCATCTGCCCAAAGGCCTGGCTATTTAGAATATGGTGCTCTGATGGTCTTTGGCTTCCTTGAGAGCTTGTTAGCAATGAAGATCTTCCCATTTCACCACAAAATTGACATCTCTATGGAAACATGATTCTCAAGTGCTTTGAAGGGATTGAGCCATAATTTCTACTAAATTTGAATCTGGAATATTTCCCAAAAGCCTGGAAAACTATGGAATTTTTAGGAGCTGGGGGCCTAGTGGGAAGAAGTTAGGCCATTGGGAGTGTGCACATGTAGAAGATATGGGGACGCTGACCTCTGCTTCTCTCTCTTTTTTTTCCTGGCTAGCATGAGGTAACAACTTTGTTCTACATTTAGTTCCCCATCACGATGTGCTCAGAAACAACAGATCAATCAACCATGGACAGAAACTTTACACACTGTGAGCTAAAATACACTCATCTTCCTGAAAAGTTTATTTTTCTCAGATACTATTACAGTCATAGAAATATAACCCACACAATCCTGAAAGATATATTCCCTAAAGCCTGAAATCACAAAAGATCAATATTCAAAAAAGTCCTGGAAAAAACTTAAAAATTCTTTAAAATATATTCATTCACATTTTTAAAGGGTATTTGCTTAAGAAGCATAAAAATATGACAGAACATAGACCATTTTACACAATAAAATAGTAAAAACATACATATCTTTGCAAGCAAAAATATTCAAGTATACTAAAAACAGTTTCATGGCTGTAATATGTATGAGCAGATAAAGCCTGTTCATAAGGAAGTAGGCCAACACAGCACCTGTAATTGGAATGCTGCTCAAGGGCAGAGTACTTGACTATCATATGTGAGACTCTCAGTTCAGTCCCCAGAACTACCAAATAATAATAGTAATATACTCTAGCTCAAGTGCTACTCTCACAGACACACTTAAGTAGTGCTTTACCAGCTTCTAGTTATTGGTTCCATCTAACATTGTGTGACTATTCCACACAGTTCAAAGACACATTAATCTTTTCCCAAGAATTTAGTGAGGTTTTTTGATGGATATTTTTGGAAATTTTACAAAGTTTTTTCCCTCCCTCCATGGTAATTGCAATTTTCAGAATCTTAGCTTTCAAGGATTTTTGTATTCCAGATTTTAATCTGTTGAAATTGTGATTCTTGAATTTTTAGACTAGTGATTTTGCTCTTTTGGGATTGTCTTTAAGAATTATGTAGTATTTTCATCATAAAAATACACACTTGACCAAGACTATAAAAATACTTCATACTTATTTGCACAAAAGAGAATATTTGTTGAAAATGCATCGGCTGGGGATTTAGCTCAGTGGCATAAGTGCCTGCCTTGCAAGCAGGCAGTCATGAGTTCGATCCCCGGTACCGATAAAAAAGAAAAAGAAAAAAAAATGCATCTTCCAGTGACAAAAATAGCCCCCTCACCACCACAGTGCACTTCTACCACAAGCTCAGCTTCGGATCACTCATTAACACCGTCTGCTTAGTATCTGCCACAATGACTGGAGCCTAGGGAGGTTTCATGGAAAGCCCAAAATTCAGGGAAATGGACTCAGTGGCCTTTGAAGCTGTTATGGACTTTACCTAGGATTATTCCTGCTGAATCCTTTATGGAAGAAGCTGTATAGGGAAGTGAGGAAGTTACTTGATACAAAGACCCTTTTTTTTTCTTATTCAATTTTTTTTAATTTTGAAAGTGGTAAAATACAACAGAACAAGACAGAATAAAGCCAAATTAGACAATGTAATGAAATGGGTACAGAATTTCACAGCAGGTTACCGGGATAACAGTAATAGGTATCACAGTATATTTCGTTATCTTTACAATAGTTGTTCTTTCAATCACATATATCAAAATAAAATGAAACACAGAACATTATAGAACTTATGAAAACAGAATATTGAATTGAGCAGTACCATTAATCAGAATAAAGCAAACCAGTAATAAAGACATTCGCCTTCAAAGAGATGGTAGAAGGAAATCCCTCTTATTTGCTATGGTCAACCTCCCAAGAGATGCTCAGATTTCTGGGTCCCATTTGCTAATGGGGGGACAGGGGAAGGAGGATAAGGGAAGTGGCGTGTTTGACTCTAGACCATGTACCAATAGGCTCACTATTGCTTACCAGGGAGGGGAGCTGCTTGCTTGGTTTCCCAGGGTCCTCAGTTCCAACATGGCGCAGATCTCAGGAGCCACTGGTGGTTCTCCCCCTGGAAGGGCCGCAGTCTGCCACACCACAGCCACTTACCAGGGTGACGAGCTGCTTGCTTGGTTTCTCAGGGTCCTAAGTTTCAACATCGTGCAGATCCCCTTGATACAAAGACTCTGTGGGAAAAGGTAGTCAGCCAGACTTCAGATCTCACTGTGACAAAAAGAACTAATTTGAAAAGCCCCTTCCCATTAATTTGTGTACTGATAGATGGTTATTACTTGTTGCTAAAATATGTTGTTGTTCACTACTAATTACATATTTTCGTTTTTTGCTGTAATGCTCTAAGAAACCTCTTCACATATAGAAGGTGTGTTTTTCCGATGTCAGTTAGTTCTTAGAAGCCTCTTTGAATTACATGCTGTTGTGGTTTGGATCTGGACTATCCCCCTATTATGGTTTGTGTCTAGATGTCCCCCCTCCAAAGCCTGCAAGCCATGCAGTCATGGGGACAGGTTTCTAGTCTGTGATTGATTCATGGACTAATGCTGGGATTATGGGTGTATTTCACCTTCTCTGGGGAAATAAGTCTGTATACAATATAAGGGGTGGAAAAAGGCTTGATTTCTCTCCCTTCCCCTCTTGTTCTTGATGCTTTTACTGTCTTCTGCTACCATGAAATGTTACCTGCCTCTCAACCATGCCACCCTGTCTTGGAGCCAGCTGATTATGGCCTGAAACCTCCATAAACTGTGAGCTAAATAAAACTTTTCCTCCTTTATCCCCAAGTGTTGGGTATTTTAGCTCAGCAGTAAGAGAAAAGTAACCAAGATACTCCCAAACTCTCATGCCATCTGAGGTGGGGCTTTTGAAGGGTGGTTATGTCTTAGGAGTGCTACATTCCTATGTGGATTCAGCCACTGGAGAATTCAGTGGCTGAGTGTGCTACTGGGGTGTGGGCCTGGGTGGGAAGAGACAGTCATTGCAGGCATGACCTGGACAGGTATATCTCCCTCCCCAGCTCCCCGCTTCCTTCTCTACTTCCTGACTACCATGATGTGAGCAGCTCCTCCCCCAGATCCTCTCACTGTATCCTTTCTGCCTTCGAGCCTGCTAACCATGGACTGAAAAATATGAGCAAAAATAAATCTGTCTTCCTTTAAATTGTGTCAGGTATTTTGCCCTAGCAATGAGAAAATGTCTAAGACCCACACAAAAATCTGCTATCATCAAAATTTATTTTGCATAATCAGCTGATAAAATAAGACCAGGCCCATCTAGACATAAGTTCCTTGAATAACAATGGGCTCAAATTGTCTTTCAGGAGAAGCCTCCAGAATCTATTGATGACAGTAAAAAATAGGTTTTTCAATATGGACATGAGCCAAAGAGGCCAGCTTATTAGGTCAACTGATCATCGTACATTACAAACTATTCAAAATCAATGTGCAGAACATACCTCATTACTCCCCACTCAAAACTACACAACTTGTGAAGAGGCATGATGACCATCTGGCCTACCAGACAGAACTGGAAAACCCCCTCTTTTGCCACCAGTCAACAAGCAGCTTTTCCTTCTCTCTTCTTATAAATTTCCCCACTAATCTAGGTTTGGAAAGCGCCTCTTAAATTATTGCTCTGGACCTCACTGCTGGTTGACTATACTATATAGATTTTCTTGAAAAATCTTGTACCTAAATATTGGGTTCTGTGCACTTTGGGCTGCAAGCCTTTGCTTTGTATCTATAGCTACATTTGGTTCTCAGAGACACTGCAAACCGTCTGATTTGCAAGGGGATTCTTATGAAGACTCTAGAGTAATTTATTTTCTTATTTTGACAACAAAATGTCAGATGAAGCACAGAACTGTTTTGAGCAAAAAATTATGGGGGAAGGGGATAAAGAAGGACAGGCGGAGAAAAGAGTATGTTGAAAAAGGATGCCCACGAATGGATTATCAACCAGACTGATTTTTACAAAAAGATACAGACATAAACTAAGAAACTTTAAGATAATTCATTCCATGAAACACTTGCACTCTACATACAGTAGGGATCTCAGCAAGATAAATTAAATGAAAAGTACTCCAAATGCAGGTAATCAGAGGCAACCAAGTATTAGTAGGTTTCACCCAGGACACAGAAAACTCCAGTTCATGAAAGAGGCGTCTGCATTGTCCACAGAGCCCAGTGAACACAGTTCAAGTTTGCCGCACCCACTCTCTTGTCTATGCATCTTTCTAAAATAGCCATAACATTACAATACATCCTTTCTTTGTCCCAAAGCCCTTCATCAGGACCTCTTGAAGTCCTACTGCCTGTGAACAATCATTTGATCTTTGCTGATCTCACGTGAAGATTTCACTGGCTTTCAGACATTCCCTCACTTAACACATCCGTTATTTTTTAATTCTAGGTTAAAGTGAGCTGTGTCTCAAAAAAGCGGATCTGGCTTCATTCCAGACCGAGAACACAGCGTCTGGTTCCTAAGTGGAGTTTGCATGGAATGTTGTTCTTTTACTCCTTCTTCAGAAACATCCTGTACCTCAAAAACACAGCTCCACTCGACTGGCAGGGAGAACGCTCCGCCTCCTGCAACTCCAGGAGGAAGGATCCGCCAGACCTAGGCACACACATCACGCATGCGCACGGCGAAGGAGCCTCGAGGGCGGGAGGAGCTGGCGCGCGCACGCAGCGGCCGAGCGAAGCGGGAGCGCGCCCGGGGCCGCGTCCGGGGCTCGGACTGGCTGGGTACGTCTCGAGCATGCGCGCCGCGGCCCGGCCCAAACCATGGCTCACAGGCCTCAGAGGACGTTCCGGCGGCGCCAAGTGGACTCCAGCGACAGCGACGGGCCCGAGGATCCGGCTGCTGAGCCCGGGGAGCAGAAGGAGCAGGCGGCCCCGGGCTCTCCGGCAGGAGGTCCGCCCCTCGGAGTCCGCGCGGAGCTGATGGGGCGACAGCGTCGGGCCCGGGGCCCTCGGGGCCGGAGTCGGGTCTGGGCGAGCTCGCGGCGCGCGGACGGCGGCCCAGGCGTCCCAGGTGACGTGGGGAGGGATGGGGCGTCAGGTATTCTCTGGATGATCCACAACCTGCGGATCCCTGGCCGCGCTGGCCTCGGAGGTCATGAACCCGTGGCCTGCGAGCGCTCGCCCGCTGCCTGCATCCTCCTGTGAGGCTCCTGGGGCTGGGACGGAATCCTCCAGCTGCTGGCTGCTTTTGCACCTTCCCCTGACCCCCACCGGTTTATAGTTAAAGTGATGTTTATGAAGAATCTAAGTGTTCACAAAGAAGTAAAAGAACACCTAATATCATATACTGGGAAAAGTTGTATCTTTTAGAAAATTTGTACATTTTTTCGTAAAATACATTTAAAAATAGTACACAAAAAATTGTACACAGATGACAGATTTGGGAACATTTGCTTTTTTCTTTCATCAGTTATTTACAAAATCTGAGATCAAAACGTGATACACATAACACTTCAGTATCCTAACAGAGATTGATAAGATTGTGGACTCTGTGCATAACTAAATCAAACTAATTAACATCTCACAGACTGTGTGTGTGTGATGAGAATATTTAAAATCTCAGTGTTTCCAGTATCATGTGTGACAAATTGTTACTTCCTGAAGTTAATTAACCATGGCTTCTTTTGCTTAACATAATGTCATATAGGTTCATAACCTGATTTCTTGGTCATTGTTAGGACCAAGTTATAATGACTTTAATGCTGATGCCATAAAATGTGAGTTATCTGATTAAATTTTAGTAGTGATAAAGGACAGAAGTTGACTTTTGACTTTTAGAGCAGTTTTTAAATATTATAATCTTTAACATCTGGCTAAAGAGAAGATATTTAAATTCTCATAGCTGCTTCTGCATTTACTCCTTGTACTGTGTTTTGAAGTATTTACAGAAAATACAACTGCTCACAAATACATGAATAGAGGATACTTTTAGGCTACCAAGGGTTCTGCTTTAATATTACAACAAAGTGCAAAGAGTAATAGTTTCTGAAAGGAGAGTTGCACGGTGAAACCTTTACCCATATCAGTAAGTTTTGGTAGTCACATTAAAGTCACATAGGTCTGTGTTGTACTTTATTTTTCTATTTTAAAGAGAAACAGTTTCAAAACAGGTTAGGACAGTTGCAATAATATATTGTATATTGTTATAGTTATTTAGAATATAGTATATAGACGTGCTATGTTGTCTAAACAATATTAGCACAAACCTTTGAACTAAGAGAAACTAGCCATGTAACTGTCTTAACTGTTGGATCTTTTACTCATTGAAAATTGGTAATATCAAGCACTTGTTGTTTGGGAACAAGTGCTTGGGATGTTTGGGAAATATTTGTTTACTAAGTTCACACATCTTGGTGTACTTTCTTGTACACCATCAGAATATTACTGTTAATGTTACTACTGATCTTCTCAGAGTATTGGAAAGCTGTCAGTTTCCCATCAGATAACTTTTCCAGAATTGCAGTTTTCATTTAAACTTTAATTTTTGCAGTAATAAGTTCAACTTGACATATTTTTGAGAGTAATTGTCAGTTATCCACATCTGAATAACCAAGTTTTGTCTTTCAGTCATTCTTTTAAATGAGATGTTTCTCCTTGAACGAGTGGCTAGTTCAGCTTCCACTTGAGTCACACACCTGCAAGGCAACCAGTGCATTTCAGTATGCAGGAGAAATGCTGTATGCACGCTTCCATCTTACCAATCACGGCATTCAAAAGATACTTGCTAACTAGCAAGATTTGATAATTCTGTCACATCAGTTTTTCTTCGATTTTCCCTTTTCTCATTGCATCGTTTTAGAAATGTCTTATTAAATAGGTAATGTGAAGAGTCTTTGTACATTTAATAGACTATCCAGTTATTCTAGATAGATTGGAAGTTGGAGAAAGTTTAAATATGTGGAGGAAGTTGAAATACCACAATTATATGCCATCTGTTTTTCAGAATTTCATTTATTGGTTCCACTATTTTGACTCTTTCTTGTTATATTCCAAAAAATTAGAATCCAGGAGAGTTGATCTTTCAACTGATGAAGAGGATGGAATACAGCACTCCTCAGAGAGTAAAGATGATCAGACCTCATCCTCAGACAGCTCTAGCTCATCCTCTGAGAGCTCTGAATTTTCATCAGCAGGTTGGTCATTTTGTTTTAAGAACTTCTGTGTGCGAGTGTACACACGTAGCTTGTGCACTCATAAGAGCATGCCCAGGACTGAACCCAGGTGCCTGTAATATCTGTATTTTCTGTACTAATGATGGACTATGGATCAAATAGATTCTTGCTCGTGATTATCAGAGTGACGGAATTTTCATTAGATAACATTTCCAAGGGCAGCTTATAAGAGGCTGAGACATAATTTGAATCAAACAAGTCTTTGTCAGACTTTGTTCTTAACTGCTGTGCTGTGCTGGGAGATTCACTTTGTGTGTTAGTCACTTTCCAGTTGTGGACACAATACCCAGCACCCTTAATTTGAAGGAGGAGAAGTTTAATTTGCTTACGCTTTAAGAGGATTCTGTCCACGGTTGACTGGTTCAGAAGTAGAAATATGATAGAAGGCTGTGTTGGAACAAAGCTGCTTAGTTCATGATAGCCAGGAAGTAGAGCAGGGAAGCAGTGCCTGCCGGAGATGAAAGGGTAAGGAACCAGACCTAGCCCTCAAGGCCACACCTCCGTGACCCACTCTGACACCCACCAGTGTGCTTCACCAGTTTCCCAGTGGATCCCCAAACCCATCAGATTGACACTCTACCTTAACCACCCTACCACGGCACCTGAAGGATGATAAGAATTTGTAAAGAAGATATTTCAGGTACATGGTATGGCCTATCAAAAACTCTAAGGAGGATAACTTAATATGTACAGAAAACTACCCCTCAGGACGATGTGATCACTTTCCTTTTGTAAAAGACCAACCTATTTCCAGAGGTCAGCCAGTTACTATTTGTGGGGCAAATGTGACCCACCACTTATTTTTGTAAAGTTTTAATAAATGCAGTCACATTCTTTCAATTACTTTTTTATTATTTTAGACTACTTTGCACTACAGGGGCAAGAGTTAAGTCTCAACAGACTTTATATTCCACAAACAAAAAAATATTCATCTGGGTCTTTACTCAAGTGTATATAACTTGTTTTATGTACAGACTCTTTTTGCAATCTAGTGAAGTTCTAAGACCTTTTTAAAAAAACTAGTAAAATACATAGCTTTATGAGTGGCACATTGTTTTGAAATATTACTAAAATATATTATAAAAGATTGATAATACACTAATAAGTGCTTCTTTATTAACTCATTAAGTAATAAACAATAGCTTTGTTGCCTTGTAATCTTTTTCTTTTTTCTTATCTACTTTCACAAGGTACAGAACTACTGAGTGATGAACTCATTATTAAGAATTTTGAGCCTCTGGGCTGGGGATTTAGCTCAGCGGCATAAGCGCCTGCCTTACAAGCAGGTAGTCGTGAGTTCGATCCCCAGTACCAATGAAAAGGAAAAAGACAAAAAAAAAAAAAAAAAAAAAAAAAAAGAATTTTGAGCCTCATAAACATTTGAAGTCTTGTTTAGATTCTAAATATAACCCTGCCCAATAGAATCTTCTGTTCTGGAAAAATTCTGTGTCTTCACCCTGTTCAGTACAGTACCAGCAGCCACATATGGGTATGGAGCTCTTGAAATGTCCCTATGAAATTGAGGGATTCAGTTTTTAATTAGTTACGTTTAAATAGTCAAGTATTTCTAGTAGCTGCCGTAAAACTGTGGCTCTGGAAGATGGTGAGTTAAACACTATGAAACAGTGGCTGCCAGGTGTTTTGCAGCTCCGCCCACCTCACGAGAGGGCAGTGTTTGGAAATGCATAGGACGATTTTTCATAATCACAGTGATTGAAGTGGTGTTGGATGTTGTAGCACTCGAGGGCCCCAGAAGTGACAAACAGGTAGCCCTCAATAAGACATCAGTACACCTGATGAGTGAGACAGCCATGATGAGACAGCATGCTTTCAGTATATTTCCTGATACGTCTAGATTGGGATCAGCTCTGTAAATTGCATTTCATGTTATTAAATTTACTTTCTTTCTTCACTGAGGTAGATTTTTGTGTGATTAATTTATATGGCATACATCAAAATAGCAAAAAATTGAGAAACATTATACCTTTTTTCTTTGTTAAATGTAATAGATACGTGTTTCAGGCATTTCTGTTGGTGTTCAGGTTTCATTGTCCTCTTCTTTGTTTCTTTCAGTTAAAATCCCTGATGCAGCTTTTATTCAGACAGCCCGCAGAAAACGTGAACTGGCCAGGGCCCAAGGTGACTATATTCCTTTGGATGTAAACCATCCCGCCACCGTCTCTGCCATGACGAGAAGCAGTGAGGAGGATCCTGAGAGTGAGCCCGATAACCATGAGAAGAGAATACTCTTCACACCAAAGCCCCAAACACTGAGACAAAGAATGGCTGCAGAAACAGGTGTGTATTTCATTTATTTAGCAATGTATAGTGAAGACATTTTTCATTGGAATATATTACAATGAAATTTCCATTGCAGTGTAGTATGTCATCTCACATTGTAAAGAGTGTTGATGTTGGGCTGGGGATTTAGCTCAGCGGCATAAGCGCCTGCCTTGCAAGCAGGCAGTCGTGAGTTCGATCCCTGGTACCGATAAAAAAAAAAAACGAAAAAGACAAAAAAAAAAAAAAGAGTGTTGATGTTGGTTTTTATTTATGATCAATTTGGTCCTGACTTAGTGGCCTCTAACAGATGTAGGGAAATATTGTTATTAGAGGGTGTGGAATGTTGACAGAGGCCTGCCTCGCATGTGATTTTTTTGACAGATTAAAAAAAAAAAATTATGCGTAGTCTTCTTTTTGAATCATTGGAAACTTAATATCATGTTTGTAAAGATAGTCTTTAAGATTTATTTATCTTAAAGTACCTTATTTTGTAAGGTTCTTCAGAGATTTTAGGTGTAGGTTTCTTTTGTGAGTAATACTAAAGTCTCAGAGGATATTTTCATGTTCCTCATTTATAACACATCCTACCAAGACTTTTGTTTCTTCAAGTAATATTTTTTTCAGAATCAAAGTTTAGGTCTTATAACCTAAAATGATTTTTGTTTGTATTTTTGGGCAGGAATTAGAGATTTTTAATGAGAAAAATCCATACTTTGTCAGTCCTTTCCATTTAGAGGGGCTAACATGTTTTGAATAGTAAGAGTGCAGGCTCTCAAGGAGATCTCTGCGTTTCTGTTGTAGCCATAGCAGAGTCTGTGGACAAGTTACTCACCTGCCAGTATGTGAGTTACTCATTTATAAAATGAGGACAGTACTGTTGCCATCCTGAGTGAATCACATCGAAGTGTGTGTAACCTTTCATAAAACAACCCATACAAATACTGACTACTACAGTGGAAATGGAGAAATATTAAATATTTATTTGTGAATTTTTTTCTTTTTATAGCAAGCAGAAGTGAAGAAACAAGTGAAGAGAGCCAGGAAGATGAAAATCAAGATATTTGGGAACAGCAACAAATGAGGAAAGCAGTTAAAATCACAGAGGTAACATTTTCTAATGCCAGGTATATTAGGTTCCTGGAGCTGCTGTGACAGTTTAGCGACTTAGAACAGCGGATGATCATTCTCTCCTATCATGAAGGGCAGATGGCTGAAGTCACAGTTGGCAGGGCTGTGCTTCCTTCCAAGGCCCTATGGGAAAATCTGTACTTTGCTTTCCCAGCTTCTGATTATTCTGGCTGTTTCTTGAATTGTGATGGGAAAACCCTTTTTATTTTTTGGCACCAATAATCAAACTCAGGACCTCATGCTTGCCAGGCAGGCACTGTGCCGTGGAGCTAAATTCCTGGCCTGATAGCAAAACCCTTATCTCTGCCCCCATGGCCTTCTCTTCACCCCTACTATTTCCTGTAGGGACATCTGACTTTATGGATGTCCTAGTGTCTTGCAGACAATCCATGATGAACCGGGAGGGACAGCCAATGGGAAAGTTTGGGAAAGCCTCCACAGAAGTAGTGCTATTTTACTGAGCTATTCAGATATGTTTGTGGTGTGTAAGACTGGAAACTGAACGTATCAGGAGTATTTGGGGATTTGCAGGAAACATTGGAGCTAGCTACGAGACATGATGAAATTAGAGATGAGAAAGGATGGTGGTTCTTAGAAAATTGAACAAGGATAATTAAGCTACTGAGTTTGCCAGATATCTGGTCCATGTCTCCATATGTCCTTATCAGAAATAGAGGTTCTTCAGAACACTTGGAATCTCCACACCCTGTCGTGATGAGCATTAGCCAGCGGATACCAATGCGGCTTATATGACCTCACAAGATGTACTAGAATACATTCCTCTGCAAGTATTAGAAAACCTCCCAAGTAATGGCTTTGATCATGTAGCTTCTTCCAGAACTGTAGAGTACATTTGACCATAAACAACATTAACTTCAAACACTTTGAGAAATGAACTTCTGTGAAAACTCAGACTTTTAGAATTTGGGTCTTATGTGTGAATTTACTGCTTTAAAATTTAAAACTGAAGATTTTCAAAACATTTAATAGTTACCATGAAAACAGATGCATGGAATTTTGAGCTGGAAAGCAACCCAAAATATCCAGTCTTTTTTGTAAGGTAAATGAAGTTTTTTTTTGTTTTTACCGTATCTAGGGAAGAGACATAGACCTTTCTCACAGGAGTGATTCTCCGGCAGTGAAGAAGTTTGATACTTCCATTTCATTTCCACCAGTAAATTTAGAAATTATAAAGAAGCAGCTAAACACTAGGTAAGTCATATTCATTGTTGAAATTTATATCATACTCAACATTTAATAGAGACAACTGCATTCTTTTTAATTATTAAATGATTTATAAAGAAAACAATAGCACCTGCTCGGTTATATTAACTCAACTGATTTTGTTGTTCATCTTTTCAGTTTTTATAACCTATAATCACTAATTACAAAATTCTACTTTTTTGTTTAATAATGGTTAAAGCATTTTTCTACATTGTTGGAAAGTCTTTAACTTTTTAAAAAGAATAATGTGCTTATCCCTGTACTGAGTATGTCATAAATTATATAAATATTTCTGTGGTGCACATTTTGATTTTAAGTTTCCTCTGTATTTGCTATAGTTGATAAACATTTTGTTCCTTTAAGTCTGTCAAAGTTTTTTTCCTTAAAATAAACAAAGAAAGTTCTATGTGGCACCAGCCGTATTTTTATGTTCCTTGGTATGCACTGCCTTTCTAAGCACAGCTTCTATTCCACCAGTATTAATACTTATCTCTTAAATAGTATTACCCTTTTGCTAAAAGTAGGACAAAATGTATCATAGATTATTGTGTTTTAAATATGTCTATTTAAGTTTGTGCTCAAGATTTGAGATGTGTAATTAGATATATGAAAGGATGAATATGCTGTTCAGAGTTTAATTTGTCCTTATAGCAGTTCAATACAAAGGAGCAGGTTTGGTTCTCCTGCTTTTTAAAGAATACTGTGGTTACTTCTCTGTCTCAGAGACATTGGCTCAATTTTTGCTCCTAAATATCTTTTCTATAAATTAGCTTTAAAGTGACTTCATTCTTTTGTCACATTGCAACTAAAATGTATTCGTTGTAGTTGTTCACTTAAATGAAGGTTTGATGTAGAAAAGAATTTTGTAGCATTTTGTAGTGAAATAAATACTTCAGCATCTTCAGATGTATCATTTTTCAGATATTAGATTATCTTTGTACTCTGGGCATTTGACGAAGGAGCAGCTCCTCCCCTGATTTTATAAATAATAAAGGGGCAGGGAAAAAAGGACAAAAAGGAGGAAGGAGGAAAGGGGGAGGGAAGGAAATCTGCTTCATATTCCTCCATTGGTACACATGTATGACAGGTGACTGAATTTTGAAAGATAAACAGTCATTGAATTATTTTGACTGTTTCTTCACATAACATCAGTTGAGGCAGAGCTTATTTACAAGGGCTGAAAGAAAATACTCTGTTGTGTCTGTAATAGGGCAGCTTTAGGGAAATGCAGCAAAACAGTGGCAGAGGAAGTGAAAGGCACTGCCTGGAACAGTAGCTTCTAGTGGCACACAGAAACCATGGTGGGTCACAAAACAAATTCACATCATACCAGGCTACCACATGGTTAAATGACATGAGCACCAGCTCACTCAGATACCCGTATTCTAAGACCACTGATTAGCAGTCACTGCACAGGACTTTGAAATACAAGGTCACTGATTTTTTTTTTTCTTCAGAATCTACTTTATACATTTTCACCAATATTAGCCTAAAACCATATTCATTAACTTTTGTAAAATTAGCCTGTGATGAGCTTCTGCCTCTGAAACCCTTCCAGTGTCCTTTTTATGCTTCCCCTTTAAGGTGCCTCTAATTGTGATCTCCTTTGCTTATCCATTCTAATAAATCCAGTTTCTATACTCATCAATGTCCTTGGTTCTTTGAAAACATTTGCAGTAGAAGACTACTTTAAAAAGGAAAGTTTGAAAAGTAAAGCCTTTTCATTTTATTTATTTAGATTACCTTTACTGATACTCTATATAGAGATTTTGTTGTTTTTTGTTTGTTTGTTTTATTGCTTTCTAATTTTTCTGTGCTTTTTTTCTTTAAAATAAAAAAAAAAAATAGATTAACTCTACTACAGGATACTCATCGCTCACACCAGAGAGAATATGAAAAGTATGTAGAAGATATCAAGAGCTCGAAGAGTACAATCCAGAATCTAGAGAGTTCATCAAATCAAGCTCTAAGTTATAAGTTCTATAAAAGCATGAAAATGTATGTGGAAAATTTAATTGACTGTCTAAATGAAAAGGTACATATAAATATACCCTTTTTTGAGAATACTATCCCTTACCATACAATTAGAAAGATAAAATTTAAATCTCACTATATAATACTTTTCTATGGCATTTTTCCTGCACATTTTTAATACAGGGCTTTTTTTTCAATTATTTTGTTGTTATAAGTAATGCTATATAAAATATTGTCTACAAAATTTTTGTATTAAAATTTCAATTTAAGAAAAATTTCTAGAAAATGAAATAAGTCAGAGTGAATAATTGTAAATATTTTCAGGCTTGTTAAGCGTTTTGTCAAATTGTCATGAAAGATTTTACCAGTTTTATTACTTTACTAGATAAGGAGAAAAATGAATTTTGGTTTTGTACATTGTATTCTAATCTCAAACACTTTTTTCATTGGCTGCATGTACTTTTTCTTCTTGTGACTTCTTTTTTTGCCCTCAGCATTTCGATTCTTAGTGGGTATTGATTTTCAGTTTTTAGTTTTTTTTAGTGATGATGAACAATTCTTTATAGCTTAAAAGTTTAATAGTTTACCATATTTTATGTAAACTTTCTAGTTCGTCTTTTCGCTTTTTGACTTTTGACATTCACGTATTTTGAAATTTCTATATTAACTGATTTATTAATCTTTCAACTTATACTTTATGGGTTTGTTTTATGCATACTAAAAATGTTGAAAAATATTTGCATCCCTTGTCCTTTAGTTTTGCTTTGCATAGGCTGAGTTCTAATATCATTTGGGTAATTACTTTCTAAGGTGTTTTGTACTATGTAATTTTTTCTTCATTCATCCTTCAAAAAGTACAGTGTTAAAATCCTACTGGGTGCACACTGATGAATCCTTGCAGCATGTGTAAAGCATTGCAGGAGAAGCAACTGTTGCTGAAAGGAGTCTAGATTTCAGCTGGTGATGATTTTGCATCACACCTTTCTTAGCTGTATAAGTTTTCTTGCATTCTTAATATTTTTTTTTCTTTTTTTAATCTCCAGCCCCTCCACTCTGGTTTATCATACCCTCCCAGCTTCTCCAGTGCCTCCCTGCTGTCTGCCCCTTTGGCCTGTGAGGAAGAGCGGCACTGCCTCCCATTTCCTTCTGCTCTTCTGTCTCAAAGAGGAATCTTTCCTCTTTTCTGTCACTCATACCCATGTTCCTAACTCCATCCCGTGTGGTTCCATTATCTGCAACATTTATAGCTGTTCCAGTATAGGAAGTTGCTTTTTCTATCAATATTAAGTGTCTGCCTATAGGTCTGTGCTCACTGTATCTTATAACCAATATGTGACAGTATTGCAAACATTTCTTCATACAAAAGCCAAGCATATATATATGCTTATATATCTCCTAAGTAATAATTTTTATACATTTTATAGTTTGTTATGGGTGACCTGCAAAATGTTACTTGTATATGTATTTCAGATTATCCACATCCAAGAAATAGAATCATCCATGCATGCACTTCTTTTAAAACAAGCCATGACCTTAATGAAACGCAGGCAAGATGAACTAAATCATGAATCAACGTATTTACAGCAGTTATCATGTTAGTGTTTTTATGTTCAATATGGTTTATTATTCATTAAGCTAATGTACCATCTGGAGAAGAAAAATGTTTTTATCCCTGTATAAACGTTTTTGTATATTTTCCTACTAATCTTTCGTCCACCCTTCCCAAAATTCCAAAATATTTAGAGGTAGTTTCAAAAGTACTTTAAAATGTGAAGTTAAAACATAAACACTACTATAACTTCTAGTCATTGCTATTTGAGACAAATGTTTATATGGCCATTTGATGGTTTTGTGATGAGGTTACATAAATCTGTTGCCTCTACCAGAAATACAACTTTAACAGTTTTAATGGCCTTTCCACAGACTGCTTCTAGTAAGTTCCAGTATGGATTCACTGTACAATCTCATGGTATAAAATTCAGACTCTCCTTTAATTGTCGCATAAGTTTTTTTTTTTTATTTCGGTTGTCGTGAATGTGAAAGAGATGTGAAATTAAGTACCTGATAAAAGAGAAAGCATCTTTCATTCACATGATGTTTGATCAGTCATAAATAATGGCAAATGCTAAAATTAGCAACAAAATGAATCAGATACAGGGCCAGGGATTTAGCTCAGTGGCACCAGCACTTGCCTGGCAGAAGGTTATGAGTTCGAGCTCCAGTGCCAAAAAACAAAAGAATCATACATGGTAACATAAATACTTCTAGCATTTGGCTGTGGAAAATACTGGTAAATTTTCCAGAAGAAGAATGTGAGGGAAAGAATTTTTGTAATAGAATTTTGTTGCTGTTCGCAAGTGTTAAACTGCTTTCAGTGAAGGAACATTTTTTTAAGCTAACAAATTTGATGCCTATTAATAATTATGATAGGGAACTAACATTGAAATTTCATTACACAGTAAAATACGCAATTTAAGCATATTATGTTTATATTATTTGTTGATAGGCAAAGCTGAAACATCAACAAATGGAAGCTTGACTTTAGATGAAAATACTCAGAAGGTTTTAGAAGAGGTTGAGTTTCGAAGGTACCTATATAAAGTGAAGATTTAAGCCATCATTGAGCAAGTATACTTTTCACTACCTAAATATAATTAACTGTATGAATTAATTTAACCTGACATGGTAGTTTGTGAGACTGATACTAAATCACAGTTTAGTTGGGCAGTTTTCAATAGCTTTAAAGACACTGACTCTATTCAGTCAGTGAGATGGACTATATAAAATGATATATATCAGGCAAGGAATTGCTCTTAGTGAGAAGCTGTTCCTAATTGTTAAACCTTCTCTAGAAACTGGTTAACTCTTGGGAATATTGTAACTGAGATTGTGCTATTAAAAAAAAAACGGGGAGAACCACCAACTCAAGCTACATGTGTCAACATAGTGGCTCTGGTTTTGGCCAATTTAAATAATAAAATTACTTACTTTTGCTTTAAAGCATTTTTTTTTCAACAAGAGCTATTGCTTTTCACTTACTTTGATATACTGAAAAACATAGGTCACAAAGAAGACAAGCAAGAACATTTGCTGGGAATTGTAACCATCAGGAGGGGATGTCTAGTGATGAAGAACTGCCTTCTGCAGACATAACTGACTTCCAGAAAAACCAAGGTCAGGTACCAGGTCTCTAATATGTCTTGATTTGAAGTACTGAAATAATAGGAAATGCTTTGCTGTGACTGTCTTTAAATATATGAGCTATATAAAATAGTTGAGAAAATTTAGGAAAAAAATGGAACTTTTCTTTAGCTCTTTGTGACTTCATGCCTTTAGAAAAATGACAAATTAGAGGAGCATATGCAAATTGCTGCATCTACATAGCTTTTCCCCTTGGACTTTCTTCTGTACACATGACAATTTCAGTTTCCTTTCTTTACTGCATACTTCCTAAAGTACCTGTTGTAGTTTGAAACAGTTGAGCTTAGTGAAGCTGTTTTTAGCATTATGACAGAGCATGAAGATTCTAAACATTGATGTTAAATAGACTTGAATTCAACAAGAGACTTTACGCTTTGTACTTATAGGCAAATGCCTTTATCTCAATCCAGTGTTTGCTACCTACAAATAAATAGGTTTTGTATCTACCCTGTAGAGGAGATAAGTCGATGAAATGAGATGCGTTTGTCATCTCTTGGCATGTAGGAGGGTCTCAGTACATGGTAGAATTTATTAGTATTGATGTCACTTTTATCAAAATGATAAATGTTTTTTAATAAAAATAAATTTATATGTCAGTGGGAAAGGGATTTGAGAATTGATTACATAGTCTTACATAACTTTATTTACAAGGAAGCAAAGTTAAAATGCATAATATAAATTTTGTTTTGTTTACAGATGACATTTTACAGGATCATAAGAAAGTTTTTGAAGATGTGAATGATGATTTTTGTAGCATCCAGAGTATTTTACTGAAATTTAAAGAATGGCGAGAAAAATTTCCTGAATCCTATTATGAAGCTTTCATTGGTTTATGCATACCAAAGCTTTTAAATCCTGTAATACGATTTCAGTTGATTGATTGGAATCCACTTAAGGTATTTATGCTTAATGTGTGATTATCTTGGTCACATCAATTGCTTAAATTCCCTTACTATGAGATTAGTTATAAAACACCTTACCCATTGGGTTGGTGCTGAAATCTAGAGCTTTGACATAACAGTCTGAAAATGACTACCTTAACTACTTTGGTGATGCTTTTTCTTAGCTCTCACTTGATTTTTAAGGCTGAGTAGTACTGAACATCAGTAAGCAAACAAGTTTTGTTTTTTATGGTACTGGGTATAGAACCCAGTGCCTCACATATGCTGTGCTCAAGTTGCCCAGTCTGACGTTGGACTTATGATCCCCTCTCTTCACCTGCTTTAATACCTGGGACTATATGGCCAGCATAGCTTTTTCTATCTTTCTTTCTTTGTCTTTTTTTATTTTAAACATTGTTTGAAAATTCCCCCCAGAAGTAGAAGATACAATTATGTTTGGGTAAATGTTATATAAAAGCCTGTTCCTGGGATTCTGGAGTAGGTGATAACATAGTGGAAAAACTTAATTAGGAAGGATGAATGGAAGAAGAGTAATTTAAGTGATGCATGGAAAGGTATGTAGGATTTCGACGGAAGGAGAGAGGAAATCAAAAATTTTGCAGAAATATAAAGGGAAAAATATTAATTTAACAGCAAGAGATTACACTGAAATTCAGACCCTAAATTGAGAAAAAAGAACTTACTTTGCTAAGTAATGGGAAGACTGATGTGTTGGAAATCATGTTTTAGGAAGCCCCAGTAGCAGGTTGCCTGGAGAGAAGGGAAGAAAGTGGTAGAAAGCTATAATGGTAGCCCAGTGTGACACACTATCAGAAGAGAAGGAAAAGATTAATTGCAAGAGCTATTATGATATAAGAATTAATAAAATGTAGACCCTCTCCATACAAACATAGCCCCAAGTTTTGGATTTTGGAATCTTGGAAGAACAGTTATTCCATTAATAGGTATGGAAACTTTTCAGAAACTGAGAAAGGATTTTGGAAAGAAGTTTTCATAAGTGATGAAATGCTGGAGAAATATCCATATGGCTGTGCCTACTAAGCAAACAAATGAGGATTGAAAAGATGAGAGGATAGAGCTAAAGGTGATGATTAAATGAAAGGATAATAGAACCATGTCTTTATCTTTGATTGAACCTCAGGCCATGCGTACACTGAACACAGACTCTGCTCTTTCTTAGTCATACTTGCTTATTCCCACTAAGACAGATTCAGGACTGCACAGTCTGCACCAAACAGTAACCAAGTTTATTCCTAAAACAGTGTTAGGAAGCTAATTGGGCAGCAGCCTAGTGTTAGCCATTCTAGCTGAATTTGGTAGGAAAGATCATTCCATTCATCTATTCAATAAATAATAAATGGCTATCTGCTATCTATCAATAAGCTGAATCACAACAGGTTTCACACTTATGCTTTTAAGAATCAAAAACAGCAGAAGTACATTTTGTTTGAAGTTAATAAAATTTTATAAGCAAACTTTATGACCATTTCAAGTTCCTAACAAATGAATGAATACTTTGCCCCAGGCAGGAGACTTACCATGTGGTAAGCTCTGAAGGGCCTGCACCAGTTCAGTGAGTATTATGGTACCTTGGTTCACAGAGTTGCTTCTTTCTAGTGTTTCGGTCACAAACCAAGTTGAGCAAGTTGGTTACATTCAAGTTGACTTTATCAGGAAATTTCATTCAGTTCTCAACCACGCCAGTTTTGGACCAGAACTGTGGAGGTGATTGAGTTCATGAGCCAAGATACCACTGTATTTCTTGCACAATGGATGCATGAGATGCAGCCGGGTTTTTCACTGCCTGGGTGCTGTGTCTTAGTCACGTCACCCTGCTGAGCCTTGGTGCACTGGTGCTGTATACATAGTGTTAAAATAGGAATTGTTTTCCTTGATTCTTAGAAAAGTTCTGGAGGTTACTGAAAAAGTTGATAACTTTTAAAATATACTTCTGTTTAAGAATTTATTTATAACTTTTATAATTTCTTTTGTCAGCTGAACTCAATAGGTTTAAAACAGATGTCTTGGTTCACATCTATAGAAGAATTTATTGACAGCAGTGTAGAAGATACTAAGAAGGACAGTAGTTCGGATAAAAAAATTTTGTCTACGGTCATCAACAAAACAGTTATTCCTCGACTTACAGGTACTCCGTTGTAATCTTGCTTAAAGTAAAATACTGTTTGTCCTAACTGAGTATAAGATCATTAATTTTTATTATAATCAAAACTATTTTTTCCAAAGTTTTAGAACACAAGATTTATTTGCAGTAATGATCATCAGGTGTCAAATTCAAGCTGGTTAAAAAAAATGATTGCAGTGTGTGGTTGGCTACCAAATCTCTGACACTGTGAGCCTTTCATATTTGTGATATTACTGCTGTTTTTGTGATACCTAAGTCGTGTATTAGTGATACAGTAATATATACTATATGCATTTCTCTTTCTCATCTTGTTGTTTCTTCTCTTTCTTTCTTCTCCTTTTTTCTTGAAACATTGCTGCATCTCCTTTCACTTGCCACTACCAACTATTAGTATTAATGCCTCAGCTTCGACTGAAGTCTGAAGAGTCTGGTTTCACCTGAAACTGTATTTGATAAGGGCCTGTTTTACTATGTCATGGAGAATGAATTTTGGCAGCAAAGCCCGCAGAACTGTATTTTAAAAGATGAAGCAATCTGTGTTTCATTGTTTCTCGGTCAACTTGATTGAGTTTGAAACCTATTAAGTATTTTTTCTGAAAAATCCAAATGCTTACTATTAATCCCACAAATAAGTAGCTTTATAAGAAATTATTACCTGTAGTGGTTCCTGTAGTGAATGAATTCTGTGTATATTTCAAAAGTAGCACCAACAGACTTTGCTGATGGATTGGTCATGGGGCAACACAGGAAGAGAGGAATCAAGAATGATTGAATGATTTGCCCCTGAACAACTGGAAGGACAAAGTTGCTGAAGTGGAAAAGATTGAGAGGAGTAAGATCAGAGTAGGGAGGTATATCAGGAGCTCAGGGCCATGTTGAGTTTGGGGTGCCTGTCATCCAAGTGGAAATGTCAATGAGTTGGTGAATATATGAGTCTTAAAGAGGCAGTGCAGACAGCAGGTTTGTGATAGCAATTTATTATTACTGTCATAACAAGACTGTGAATTCTAAGGAAGAGAATGTAAATCAGAAAGAGGAAAGAAGTGACCTAAGTCCTGGGCTATTTCAGCGTTTAGAAGTCAGAGAGGTAAAAAGCAGCTAGGAGAGAACAGAGGAAAAGGCAGAAAACCAGGAGTTTGGTAACCTGGAAGCCAGAAAATGTAAGAAAAATGAATGATAACCTGTTGCAGTTGTTGGTAATAATTTAGGATTAGAAGCAGGCATTGATGTTTGCTATATGTATGTATCCTGTCATTTAATAAAGTCAGTTTAGAAAGAATGGTGGAAGATGAGGCCTAATTGAAAGGAATTTAAGAGAAAATAGGAAGAGAAAAATTGGAGATAGGTGTTTAGACAGAATTTTGTTTTAAAAGGAAGGAAAAGAATGGAGTAGTAGTAGAGGGGATATTCAGGTTACCGGGGGGATTATATTTAATAGAAAAGAAAATTGTTTGAAGGCAGATGTGAAAGATCTGATAGAAATTACGGTAATGGTGAAGGTAAAGAGCAGGCTCTTAGAGTGACACGTGGGGTTGGATCTTGTGTACAGATCAAGGGTTGGTCTTCCTGAGAGCACACGTGCTTGACTTGTAGGACTAGGAGACAGGTAGAGCCTGTGTGCCAGGATGCAGGTCAGTGTTGTTTCTGTGGCAGGAGCTGATGGAACCTTTCTTTTGCTTGCTTCTGTTTTTCTTTTGTTTCATTCATCAAATTAGGAAATTAAGTAAGAAAGAGAGAGCAGGCAACTGAGAGTGAGAGCAAGAATGAAGGAGAAGGGATGAAATACTCATCTGGGTGAGGGGAGAGTGCGTAGACCAGAGAAAGGGGTGTGACTGCTGGCCAGCAGTAACGAACCACTTTACAGTGATCAGTTAAATGGGATTTTTTAAAGCTGTACATGGTTTCAAGCACTGACCCAGTTACAAGGTAGATTTGACTAGAGAAGTCCAGCTAAGCCTGTGGAGGACAAGGAAATTGAGAGGGTATACAGATGTACGGTAGTAATGACTGGCCATGCACTGTAACCTGAATAAGACAGGAAGTAGTCTGTGTTTAAGTCCTTAGTTGTTTATACATAATAAATAAAACAGTCTGTCAAACAAATTGTACACCTGGAATATTTGTTTCAGACTTTGTAGAATTCATTTGGGATCCTTTGTCAACCACACAAACAACAAGTTTAATAACACACTGCAGAGTGATCCTTGAAGAACATTCCAGTTGGAAAAATGAAGATAGTAAAAGCAGACAGGTAAAAATTTGTTGAACCAGAAATATAGCTCAAAGGTGGAATGTTTGCCTAGCATGCACAAAGGGATTAATCCACAATACAGCCATAAATAAATACAATAATAACTTATATAAGCTCAGAAGTATTTTGTAGAAGTATTTGCTAGAAAATTTTCCTTTTTTTTTTTTCTTGGCACAGCATTCAAAACATTAAGCAAAATCAATTTTTTTGTCTTAATGTTACGGATGATTGTATGGAAAGATAAATATCAGTGCAGTACACTTTTTTGTGAAAAGTAAATTTGGTCACACTTAGACATAGGCCTAGTTTTTTTATGGGGTAATGACAATTTAATTTGCATTATATTCAGTATCATTGATTTAAACAGTAATTATCATTCTTGTTTATAGTATATCATTTTCATTTTTCACATATGGATTTTTAAGGCATAGATACCATGGCTCATAGAAACATTACTATCAATGAAAAATATTTTAGAATTCCACTGTCTTTTTATCCTAGTGTCAAGGATTGATAACATTGTATGATTTTTTTGTTGAACATCATGATCCTAGTGGACATATAAGGATATGTCATACTTCTGCATAATATCATACTACATTTATATTTGCATGTTACTACAGTTTTCATAAACCATAACTAAGCAGTATTTCCATTCAGTGATCCTTTATAATTGAATATTTTGGTCATTCCTAGTTTTTAACATACTAACAAAATGAATTTGCAAAAGCGAATTTACTGTATCAAAGATCATAGACAAACCACAAGTACCTATAGCTAGAAATAAGAAAGAGACAGAAGCTAATTGAAAATAAAGTAAGAAACATAGACAAGCAGGTTAACAAGGTCGCACCCAAATGACAACAATATGGGGGACTAAATTTCTTGTACCCAGTTAATAATTATTTTAACAGCTGATGCTGTGAATGTATACAGGTTTGCACTGTTAAAATTTCTTTGGCCATGGTATGTTGGTACATACCTGTAAGCTCAGCTACTCAGGAGGCTGAGACAGAAGGTTCACAAGTTCAAATTACTGTGGATAACTTTTGTTTATCAACTTATTGAGGCCCTGTATCAAAATAAAATATTAACAAACTGGACATGCAGCTCAGTGCTACAGTACTCTGAACTGATCAACAGTACTGATAAAATAACTTTTTTTTTGTAAATCTGTATCCACCTGTAACTATCACTAATGCTTTTCAAATTTTTAAATAATAGGATTTACTTAAATCCATTGTTTCAAGAATGAAGAAGGCAGTAGAAGATGATATTTTCATTCCTCTGTATCCAAAGAGGTAAGAATTGTTAATTTCTTGATTGTAATGTAGCATCAGTTATACAGATTTAAGAATATTCTGCAAAAGAAATTACAGTGTTTTCAAAACATACCCATCTGTTAAGTGCAAATGGAGATTTTAACAAATACTTCTCAGTCACCTACTATGTACCACACCTGATATATGGTGATTGGATGTCATGCTTTTTATTTTTTTATTCTTTATTTATTTTAAGGTATCCTGGGAACATGAGGGGTGTCATAGTGGAAAAGAGCAGCATTTCTGGTGCTTAGATCTATCATTTCTGTATATTTGACCTTGGGTGCTTTTGTGTCTCAATATCCTCTCATTCAGTGAGGATAAAATTAATAGCTGCTTTATAGGACACTAGAAAGCTGAAGAGACTGCTCCAAATGGAACAATGCCCAGCACAGAGGAAGCAGAGCATAAGCCTAAAACTGAAAGACCAGGAACTGCAGCTGTGCCATACTGCATATGGAACATGCAGTATTTGAGGCATGGTAGACCTGTACTATAAAGGCCTCAGTTATGGTAATGGTTTATGGGTAGCCAGAGCTACCCAGGGAGTACTTACAAGATGGAAGTGCTTTATGGAGGGGGGAAAAAGGAACCCTGGAACTTTACGATTTATTACGAGTTGTGAGGAGATAACTGCATGTGAAAATTCCCATGTAAAGTTTACTTTGTAGTGTTTCAGATGCGTAAAACATTCAATAGTTTAGAAGTACCATATTGAATGTATTTTGTTAATGTATTTAAAATGAAAAGTTTTACTTCTGCCCTGACCTCCATCACTCAGATTTTGCCTTTACTCCAACATATATATGATATAATAACCATCAGTAATTGTTATCTTTTCAGCTCTTCATGCAAACAGAAGTTAATACTCATCTTCCTTCCCCTCCTTTCTAGAGCAAAGTATATTATGAACAGTCATAACCAGCTTTATACCTTTTCTTGATTTAGTGCATCTTTGAAATTTTTTCACACTATCGTGGTGCCGCCTCTGACACATCCTGTAATGGATGGCTGCATTGGCAGTAAATGCTTGTCAACAGTGATGGTATAAATTAACCTGCCTAACATTCTGCGTATGCATAAGCATCAATAAAGGCAGCCTCAGAATTGGGATTGTTGGGCCAGAATGTGCATGCGTTTCTAATTTTGATAACATCAAAGAACTTCCATTTATATCCCATTAGAACTTAGGTTGGTGTTTTTAAACCAAATTTGGTGACACCACCCCTCTAATGCCAGGACTGAGAAAGCTGAGGCAGGAGGATCACTGTAGGTCCAAGGTCAGCCTAAGCTGCATAGTGAAATCTGTCTCAACAACCAAAAAAAGAAAAAAATGTTATTTTTTAAATTCACTTTTCCTAAAAGAGTAAAAGCCTTTAGATAACTTTTTTCTTTCTCTTTGTTTCAAATGATTAGCTCTGTAGAAGATAAAACATCACCACATTCAAAGTTCCAAGAGAGACAGTTCTGGTCAGCGTTAAAGGTAAGCAAAAGACTGCAGAAATACAGATACAGTTTATCATCTACATGTGAATAAATACGGTCATAACCAAGTTTCTGACTTTGGCTGTGTTTTCACTGCTAGCTTCTAACAGTTTTTCAGGAACATGGTAGGAGATGTAGGAAAAAGAAAAGGAGATGAGAAAAGGTTGGACGTAATAAATGTTGGACAGATTGAGATACAGAGGTCTAGAAGGCATCGATTTAGGAGTCCACACTTCAGGGGACAGATCTGAGCTGAGGATTTGGTAGTCTGCTGCATACTGGCAGTACCTGGAGCCAGTGTCATGAATGACAAGTTCTGAGAAGGGTGGTTGAAGTGTGCGGAGAGGGCAGAGGTCAGAACTCTGGAAACACTTTGAGAGAGGGAGCAAGGAAAACGTAGTCTTCAGAGAAACCTTAGAATGGCCAGAAGACAGCAGCCTCATGATGGTTAGCAATAAACAAAAGGTTATCATGGCACAAAGAGTTAAAAGAAAGAGAGTATTTACTGGATTTGACAATTGATCACCTCAACAAGAATGGTTTTAAAGGAGTAAATGAATGTTTTTCATGCAGTTGAGTCAGGACAGGGAACGTTTCAACGATGACATAAAGTGAGAAAACACTATGTATTAGTGAGACTTCGTGACATTCAGCACTCGGTATAGTAAATAAAGTATTGGAAGGAAGGTGGAACACACCTTAAAATTATCAGGAAGACCTGGATTGAGAGGCATCAAAGGGAACTAGTATTTATTTTATAGTTTTTGGTACTGCAGCCAGCCTATCTCCAAATATATGGTTGACATTCTTATTTTACATAGAGAAATGATGCTGTCAGCATTGAGTGACTTCCCAAGGTCACACACTGGTGGTAAGCATGACGCTGCCTTTGACCGCAGCTCTTTCTGACCCAAGACCGTGGATTTGGGGCAAGAGTATTGATGTGGAAAAGCAGCAGTAAAGTTTTTTTGAGGTCATTGGGGTTTATAGTCTAGAAAATAAAAATAGCAGAAACAAATACATAGAGGTTGAAAAGAATCAGATACTTTGTTAGAGATGTTTTCTAAAATTGATAGTTGTGATGGGTCTTATTGTGAAAATTGGAAGTTGGATCAAGTCTTTATCTTTGTTAGAGACTATTACGATTTTTCTTTAGAAAACAAGTACCTATTCACTTGGTGTTTTATTTTAGCTCCTCCGTAATACTCTGCTTTGGAACAGACTCCTGCCGGATGACACACTGAGAGAGCTAGGCCTGGGAAAGCTGCTAAATCGCTACCTTATCATAGCTCTTCTTAGTGCCACTCCTGGGCCAGATGTTGTCAAAAAGTGCAGCCAGGTAAGATGTATAGGAACCAGTTCTACCATTGTCATTTCTAAAACTTAGCTATTAAAATTTCTCTTGCAGCAGAATACCTAAAATTGTGATGATCACATAAGAATAGATGAGTCAGTTTAACAGAAACCCAGAAGTAGGCCTGTGTGTAAGACTTACTATACTAGCCTGAAACACCACCTACAGAGAAAGGGAAAATTACTTACTAAATGATGCCAGGACAGCTGCTACCTATAGAAAAGAGTGCTAGATCCTCACCTCTCACTGTGCGTCAGTATACATTTCAGTGAGAGCTGGGGTGTGGTCCAGTATCAGAGCACTTACCACAGTCAACCCTTCAATCAATTTTAGGTGAAAAGAACTAAATGTGAATTAGTAAAATGTAAAATTAGAATTACAATATATGCTAAAGAAATAAGTAGCTTGGGGTAGGGAAATGATGAGTAAAAGCATATTTGGTAGGAATATAAAACAACAGTGCATTAAACAATAAAGAAAAAGGTGCTGAAATTCGTTGATCACTGTTAAAGTAAGCTGTGTGTGCATTGGGATCATTCTATTCTTGTTTTTTCATATGGAGGTTGAACCCAGGGCCTTCACAGTGAGCTACATCCCCACCCCATTTTTAGTTTTTATTTTGTTACAGTTTAGTTATTTAGTTAGTTATAGTCAGTTCAGTTTTTTAGTTATGGTTAAGCCTCACTAAGTTACCCAGGCTTAGCTTGGACTTGGACTTCGCTTGCTCTTTCTGCTGCAGCTTCCCAAAGTGCTGGGATTATAAACTGGCACCACCAGGCCAGCTCTCTTGGTTCTTATCTTTGAAATCTACTACAATAATAAAAGTTAAAAAGAGAGTTGAAAAATTAGATAACAAGAGCTTTTAACAGATAACAAAAGTTAAGATCCACATTGACTGAAAAAGCTCTGTTTAACTTAGTAAACAATTCAAACATTCTTATTGAAGATGACCCAGAAATATGCACCAAATTATTCAAAAGGATACACTAAAGTAATGTACAAAGATGTGGGAAAGAGTAACAGTACTAATAACCAGAGAAGAGCAGATCATTACGTAGTGAAGATGCTTGTTTTATAAGTCCTGTCGAGGAACATGTTCTTGCTTTGTTGTGTCACCTGTAATTTCCAGTGTCCACACAAGCAGCAGCAGTGCTGGCGTGGCAGGAGCAGGCATCTCTCACCAAGAGCTCACAGGCAGCACAGTGGTTCTGGAAAAGTTTCCAGCACGGGCGGGAGGAGAGGCAGCTCTGCTGGAGTTCATTTTGGCATGATGGGTGCAAAACTTTTATTAAAGTTCTTAACTTTTGACAGGTCCTAAGTGAACAATCAGATTTATACATACAGATTTTTTAGGGTAAAAGAAATGTAGCATTATTCATAATAGAAACTAGTTGGAAACTATCTAAATGTCTCCCCAAACTTACTGATAAAGATGAAAGCCAAGAATTTTGAAAAATATAGGCAAATACTTATTTTACAATATAATTTCTAAACAGAACAACATATGCACTTGTGTATCAGTTCCTAGTCAACCACAGATTTTAGGCTGTAGTTTTTATACTATATAATTTAAGCATTATATATTAAAAATTTAGATCATTTTTCATGGTATGTCTCTCAGGGTTAGTGTAGTCTCCTTTGACTATAAGAATATTATGTGAAGAGGACAAGAGGAAATATATTTACCATATGACCAGAAAGCAGGCCAAGAAAGTATGGCTTTAAGTCCTGGGATGATTTATACTAAAGCCCCATGGCCATCTGAGAATTTTTTTGAGACTTGTAATACAAACTAAAGAGGAAACAAATGTAAAGGATATTAGGTTCCAAGCCACTAAAAGACTGGGTTTAAAACATCGGAAAAGAGATTTTGCATAATGCTAAACATCAGACCTTTGCCTAATGCAACCACATGTCTGAATTATTTTTCTGAATTGAAAAAGAACAATTGTATGTACTCATTTTGCTGCCATGAACACTTAAAGCAAGGTGTTTACTTGATAAACCATAATTAATTTTCCTTTCATTTCATTCTGTGTATCTTTGAATTACTCACTTGATTTTTTAACTTTATGTAGACCATATACTAGGCCACCCAATTTTTTTGTGTGAAATAATATTCATTGTGCATTATTTTAGAATTCTAATGACTGAAAGGTAATTATGGTGGTTATAAAGTAGTTTTTGTACATATGTAGCAGTTTAGGAAATAATATATAGAGTAATTATGAGTGTTTATGAAAAGCAGTCTTTTAAACATTTAGTAATAAATTTTTCAAATGTTATATATAACCTTTGATGCAAAATGGGAAATTGTTCAGAAATTTGTATTAAAACATAAGCTATAGGGGCTGGGGATTTAGCTCAGCGGCATAAGCGCCTGCCTTGCAAGCAGGCAGTCGTGAGTTCGATCCCTGATACCAATAAAAATGAAAAAGACAAAAAAAAAAAAAAGAACTATAAAATGAAAATATTCAAATTCCATAATCACTGTAAGAGTATGTTAGCACAGGTCCTTAGGTAACTGCCATTATTGTAAATAACCAGTGTTTTGATTAACAGATAGCGGCATGTCTACCTGAAAATTGGTTTGAAAATCCTGCTATGAAGATGTCTATTCCTCAGATGGAAAATTTCATTCAGTTTTTATTACAGTCTGCACATAATTTATCTAGAAGTGAATTCAGGTAATGCATATTTATTTTTACTTGCATTAGACCTTTAAAAATCTGTTGACTTTGTAATACTATAGAATTAGTAGATATTTTTATGGTTACTTTGGAATTCCTTGTCACTTTATATTTGTACCTCATGCATATTCACATTTTTAAATATAAATCTCCAAGATTTTTTTAAAAACTGCATTATCACAAATTTAAATTAAAACTGTAAATTAAAAATTTCTTAATATACTTTCAAATGTGTTGTCAGTTTTCTTTACTAGTTTTAAAGGGTTTACTGCCTGCTGTTTAGCCAACAGTACCTGAATCTCTGTCCTGAATGTTTTCATTCATAGCAGCAGGTATTTAAGGAATTAAATACCACGGTGTTATGATAAAACGCCTCTGCAAAAAATTGAAAAGCCCAGATTTGTAGCATTTCCTGGTGGTCTTGGTGTAAATAATCCTACCATGGCTCCCACAAGCCAGCAGCACATAGCATTATCAGGATTTCTAATGACAGACTTTCTTACTGCTTTTCTACTTTTCAACAGATACTCACATTGACGTTTGCCAGATTACATTGACGGATAGTCTGTATTTGGGTCTTAAAATTACAGTCGGTCGTGGGTAGCTTAATGACAGGGCTAAGTCTGAGAAATGCATCATTAGGCAACTGTGTTGTTGTGCAAGCATCGTAGGACATACTTACGTAGATCTAGATGGTATAGCCTACATACCCAGGCTGTGTTTGTCACATACATACGTACATAGAAAGTACGTACAGCCTTTCACTCCTAGGGTCATGATGAATAAAACAACATGAAATTAAATCAGTCTCAAAGGAAATGATGCAATCAGGAGATGCAAGAAACATGAAATGTATGCAGTTGCTACTGCCTCAATAGCAGACTGCTTTAAGCACTGTAAACTTTATAAGGAGGATTCTGTCTAAATGATGATGAAATAGTACAGTGTAGTAAATTCAGAAATCAAATAGCAGTCATTTATTATCACGGATCATTATACATAATTGTATTAGTGTCATACAATGTGTGACTATGTGTAAAGAAGGTAGCATTTTTTATTTTATGCAATGTTAGATAGTGATTGTAAGGTAAAGCTTAAAGCTTAGAATGAAACTGGTTTTACACTGATGAGCATGGCCTTGCGGCATCTGACCCCTGAGCTGTATCCCCAGCCCTGGTATACTGCATTTTTAAGTGGAGAGGAATACTTTTTTGTTTTGTTTTTGTAGGAATGAAGTCAAGGAAATAATTCTTATTCTGGTGAAAATAAAAGCTTTGCATCAAGCAAAATCCCTCATAGAAGACGATCACCTCAATGATCTGAAATCACTAATAAAAGAAGTTTAAGTAAACTTTCTAAGTACTAAAATGAGCTTCTACCAGTTGCACTCGGTGGCTTCGCTTCAAGAAAAGCTGATGCTTCTCTGTTCCCTCTGAGGAGGGTAGGCTTTGCAGAAGAGCAGAGCTCCCTTCCTCCCTCCCTCCCCTGCACACTCTACCTTCTGGTGACACAGAAGGCTCCCCTTCCGAACCTGTTGTGTTTCAAAGAATTAAATGCATGGAAGCTGTGAGAATTCAGTGTTTCTTATTGTTTCTTCTTTTTCAGTTGTAAAGGGGCGTTGGAGAAATCCTATGTAACTATTTTGACTGGGGAGCATGCGAAGTCATCTAACTGCTGAACCATAAAGCTGTGCTTATTTGAACTACCTCTGCTTATTTAAGTAACAAGTCTTAACTAGAATCCATTAAATAGCAGGCATTTTAAGGTATTCTACAACTGATACTCAAATTGTGCTCCAGAAGTCTGTTTCAGATTATTGAATCAACACAAGTGTAAGAGAGCCGCACTATATCCCTGCCGGCAATACATATGTACTGGTATTATTTTTTTAATTCATTGCAAATTTGATAAGTAAAAAATCTTATTTTGACTGTTAGAAATGAAACATGTTGGTTTTAGCCATTTATAATGCTCTTTGAAATACTCATCTGTTTTAAAGAAAGGCCTTTTATATTTTGGAAATATTGATCTGTTGCCCATCTTGCATAGCAAATAGTGTTTCATTTGCCAATTTTAGTTTTCATATAAAATGGTTTCTGGTATAAGTCATAACTTACTAGCAAGTTTCTGAGTTTTTTTCTTTTTTGTCATTGGTATGGTAAAAATGAAGCATTTTAAATACTCAGGACATGTGATTCATTTTCTGATAAAATAATACTTGTTAGCTTAAGGAATTATAAAGCAAGATAACTAGAAATTAAGTTTTAGAAATGAGATTTTGCTAGTAATTTTCTTAAGTTTGTTTGTTAAATCACTTGGGCAGCTTTAAAAATATATTTTGTAAATAGTTGCTCAGAAGATACTGAGAAATTATTAAGATTTATATCAGTTATCACTTCTACTTTCAAAATTACATAATTTAACAGGTATGTCACCTCTCCTGCAATGAAGCCGTGTGATTCACTAGTGTGATGGACTCATTTAAACCTTTAAGTATTTGTATAAGTTATATGGCAATAAACTTAACATCTGTAAAATTCAAACCATTGCTTAAAAGCAGAGATGGAGGTGGAAGAGGGATGACAAAAAGAATTAAGACGTGAAATGTACACGAAACAACTGTCCATGATTAATGTAGTATGTCCTGCAAAGACGCATGTACTAATAAAGATTAAAATGTTTTTAAATAAGCATGGAAAAACATTTATAGAAAGGAAAAAAAGCATTTGGTATTCCCATACAGCTAACTTCCCCAGGGAGAAATGCTTTCTCCATTTTAGTGTTATCCTTTCAGACATTTTGTTTACAAAGAAATGCGTGTACATAAAATTTTATGTAAATGACAGATACTTTATTATATATGAAATATGTAAATTCTTTACTATTAAAGGTAATATTTGGAAATTAAATCCCGAGTCTTGGATTTTTAATTGTAGATGTATTGGTTGTGTAATTGGGTAGAGCTACTTCTCTTATACATTAGAGAATACTAGAACTGCTCTCAACTACTCAGTAGTTTTAAATTTTGTTATGCTTGGAATTTGAACCACAAAGTTCTGTCATACACTATAATCCAAAAGCTTACTGAAGCTTCCCTAAACATCAGTGCAAATGTTTTTCTTCCTTTTCCTGTGAAATGCACAGAAAGAAAGAGAGGAATATAACTAGCAAGAACCAAACACTGACTTGCCATTTCATTTTATAGCTTAATTATTCCCCTGGATTTTTTCAGCTTTTTGTTCACTTAATGTGAAACTTTTCATAAGTCTGAAAGGAGGAATTTTTAAGAATTTTTTCTCACAATGAAAAAATAATTTCAAAATAACTCATTTTTGCGTCATAGGCCCATGACATGTAGATGATGCCTAAGAAGTACATATAAAACTTAAAAATGATACAAGAAAACAGCCCAGTGTCCTTTAATGAAAATGGATATGTCTTATTAGCAAACTAAATCTAGTATGAAAATGGAATTTTAAAAAGGCCAGCAAAGACCTGCATGTGTGCAACTTCTCATTAAAGGCTCAAGTTCATTCATTGTGCACTTTATACCAGTATCAGTAGAAGTATGTGCTTCAGTGTTTTGCCTCTTTTATTTCTATTTCTATCTACACACCCCAGAAAAAGTACAGAGGGATGACAGTTCTAAATATAGGACTTAGAAACAAAGGTTTATGGAAAAACCACACAGTACCTTTGATTTGGGGACAGGTAATTTCTGGAGCAGATTATAAAGTGCACTAACCATTAATGAAAAAAGGATAAACTGACTTTGGGAAACTTACACAGGTGTTCAGTATCATGTACTCTATGAAAAACAAAACTACCATAATTTCACATCTATTACAATGACTTAGAAATGCTGTAATGAGCAAGAATGTGAAGCCGTCGGAATACTCACTGGTGAAAGTGGAAAATGGAGTAATTGTTTTGGAGAACGGTTCATCTGTTACTGAAGTTAAACCTTACATGCCACAGAGAGCATGGACAAAAGCAGGAATGTATGACCCGGAGAGGAGAGGGAAAACATACAAGTTAACAGAACAGCCTATGAGAGCAACGAGATGTCAGATTTATCAAAATGGTTTTAGCCACTACGAGTATTCACAGAATTAAAACTTAGGAAAGTAAAGGAATATAGGGTTATAAGAATGTTGTATCAAATAGGTAACAGTAAAGAGAGAAGTGGTTGTTTTTTAGCAACACATTTAAGGTTTTAAAATGCATGATTATGTATCATCCCACAAACAAATGCCTTTTAGGTTGACCAGCAATCCTAATTTATCTGGGACTTAGGAGTTTTCTAAAGACTTCTAATGCTACAACTGGAGAGCAGATTTAAAAAGTTTATCTTCCAGCAGATTGTCTTAATTTTTAGATACCTGATCCATTTTCGTTTTAGTACATGGAGAGAAATTGAATCTAGATTTGAGTCTTCTGTATGTGTACAGCCAGTTTTCTAGCACCATTTGTTACAGACTCACTCCATGGTGTTTCTGGCCCCTTTGTCAAAGAACAGGTGGCTGAATGCACCTGAGGTGGTTTCTCTCCTCTGTTCTGTTCCACTGATCACATACCTATGCCAATAGCATGCTGTCCTCATCACTGTAGGTAGGCAAGGACTTTCTGAACAGAACCCAAATTACACAAGAAAAAAGATCAAGAATTAAAAATGGGACTATATCAAAATTCCCCAACAGCAGAGGAACTCACCAACAGTGAAGAGAATGGGAAAAAAAAATTAACAGCTATTTCTTGGACAGGACTAAGATCTAGAATTTAGAAAGAACTAAAAAAAAAAAAAAAAAAAAGTAGCCCCCCCTAAATAAAAGACCAAGTATAAAGGGCCAAAGAACACATGAAAAATGCTCAGTATCTCTACTTTTAGAGACATAAAAATTTTAAACACTACGAAAAACTGGTTACCATCAGAAAATCAAATAATAAAACACTGATGCATCTACAAGAAAAAAGAAACTTCTGCATTATTAGTGGGAAGAATATACTAATACAATCATATAAAAGTCAGTGTAGAGTTCTCAACCTACAACTAGAAATTCCATTCAACCCAGCTATTCCCTTTCTAGGTATCATCTCAAAAGAGTTAAAACACATATTACAGTGATACATACATACCATGTTTATAGTAGCACAACTCATAATAGCTAAATCTTGGGAGTAGCCTCTATGTTCATCACCAGATAAATAGGTAAAGAAAAAGTGGTATTTATACGTCCTGGAGTACTACTCTGCCAGAAAGGAAACTTGAGTCATTTGGAGAAAAATGGATGCACCCTGAGACAATGTTAAGTGAAATAAATCAGACACAGAACTTTAAATATACGGTTTTTCTTAAATGAGAAACCAAAGTATAAATATTTTAAATAGAATAAAAGATAACAGGAACCAGAAATCTTTTGCAAGTGAAAAGGGGGCCAAGAGGCAGAGTGGGTTATTAAAAAGAATTAAAATGTGTACAGTACAGTTTTCCAAAAGGAATGTATTACAGGAAACGTACTAAAAGTAGTGTTAAAAATACACATGCACTTTAGCAAAATGGTAGAATAGGCAAATTCAAAATCATGAGCTGTCATGGAAACATGAAAAACAAGCAAGATCATAATCAACTTTCGTCAGAATCTTGAACTGAAAATGTGGAGCAACCAAGCAAATCTGCCAAGCAACAGTGCTATCAAGACAGGATTGTGGGACTGGGGTGCCACTGAATGATACAACCTATGATTATTGTGCAAAGCCTGAGTGCAAAAAAATTTTTTCAAAAAACTACATAAATCATCTATATATTAGATTACCTATGTATGCCTTGCTCAGTTAGATGGCTGTATGAACTAACCCACAGCAGCACCTGAATGTTGCCATCTGACAGACTTCATCTAAAAAGATTGGAACCCTCTAGAGAACCTGACCAAGACACACATTAGACTCCTCAAAAAACCCATTTAAACAACCCTATGGACAACTTTCCAGTCGAAGGCTTTGCAAGCTGTCGTCTCCTATTGACACAGTCAAGGATTACCAGATGTCCCAGGAAGGCCTAATGCACAGAAAACAAATGTACAAAAAAAAAGAAGCCTTTTTTTAGGGAGGGAACATAAGTTGCAACAAAACAATTTCAAAAGAAAAAAAAAATCTCACAGATGGATATAAAGGAATTGAAGGCACTATATAAGGAGGAACTTTCTTCACAAGTGGAAAAAAAGTCCTGACGTTTTAAATGACAAAGAATTGCAAGATAAAACTAGGACTAAAAACAAAAATAGGTCTTAAAAAATGGACACTCAGTACTGGATAGGTTCTAAAATCCAAGTATCAGAAAGCAGGAGACTCAAAAAATGTTCTTTCCCAGGAACAAGTTACGTTTAATATCATCAAAACCCCAAAACCTCCCAAACCATACCACATCACTGAGAATTTCGTTAGTGTGAAGACTAAAACTTTCTACGTTATGTATAAGGAACAGAAATTAAATTATCTTTGGATTTCTCAATACAACAGGGAAACTCATAGTGAAACAATACCTAACTATGAAGAATTATCTCCCACCTGAATTGTTAATAAAATAGGAGACATGCAAGGTCTCAACACTTTTACTGCCTTTTGTATTTTTCTCTAGAAGTCGCTAAAGAATGCACTTCATGAAAATGAGTTAGTGGCCAGCAAAATGGAAAGCACAACTCAGTACACAATGCAGGAAAAGTCTCAAGACAGGTGGGCCCTTCTGACACCTAGGTTCAAGTGACAAGCTGAGGGTTGCTTTCAAGATCGGGAATACTGTTCTACTTTATTATATGTAAGCTAATATCTACCAATATGTGACACACGTCCCTTTTCCCAATCCGTGCTTAGCGTGGATCACCGTCACTCACAGCACTCCCTGAAAGTTCACTATTTTGACTTAGTCTTAAGAGCTGGAGTTTGATTCATCATGCTCTTTAAAAAATCAGTAAATGTCATTTATTATCTTGGATTACATTTCTGCTAGCTATTGGTTATCCAGTTAACTCTCAACTCAGCCAGATGCCTTAGGGTAAACCTTCTGTTCAGCAGAACTCACTCATGACCTTAACTATGAACTTCCTCAAAAGTGCTTTTATATTTTCTGGGAAACTGAAACAAGAATATGATCAAAGACTGTCATTTTCTTTTTGAAATTTTCAAGTAATAATGACAAGAAAGTCCCTTTATACTTGTTAATAGGCTTTTCCAAAGTAAATATATTCTTTATGTATATATATATGTATATATATATATACATATATATATATACATACACATAAAGGTATTGCTAAAAGGCTTTTCCAAAGTAAATACATCCTTTATGTGTGTGTGTGTGTGTACATATATATAGACAGAGGGAGAGAGAGAACTAAAATATAAACCAGGGAATGGTTAACATAGGATGATGTCTGCATCTAGGAGGGCTATGACACATAGTTGTCTTCTTAGAGCTTAGTAATTGCTCTATTTCTTAACCTGACAGTGGGCTCACTTTAACACATAGTTTGTTCCGTAATTATTTAATTCACAATTCAAAATTAGCATCCCAGCTCAGTGGCACAAGTGCCTGCCGGACGAGCACAGGTCATGAGTTCAATACCCAAATAGCATCCCACCCCTTCGTCTAGTCCAAGTCCATGCTGACTCAGGTACATTCTGATGATGCTGTCTTCCATGTCCAGCTTTGCCTCAAATTAGCGAACAAACACCGGACCATTTGGCAGTTATATTATTTTTCAGTAACAAACTGCTATGAAAATTTCATTTTTTGGAAAGCAATTGAGAAAAAGAATGCTTCGTTTATTTAAGGATTATGTTCTTGTAAATAAAGTTAACTTGGTTTCGGGATAAATCCCCTAAAAGCCAATTCATCTTCCTCAGGTAACCAAATGCTTCTCAGAATCAGGACTTGTTTGATGCTTCAATTTCATCCCAAATCCCAGCTTCAATTTTTGAAGTATCGTATTCCCTCATCATATCGAATTCAAGCCATGGCTGACTCCACTTCTGAGCTGCTTCCATTTGTTCATCAGTTAGACAAAGATCAAATCTGATTCCTTTAATATTAAAATATGGACGTTCCCAGCGTTTGGACCAAGGCTTGGGCTTCATTTTCACTTTTAGCTAACGAAAAAATAAACAAAAGGATTAGCAGGGCTGCAAAATGTCTTCTCATGTTTTCATTAAGACCATTCGTTCATATTTTATACTTTCACTGCCAAATGTGCATCCTATACCTCATTAACAGGAACTTCACCGGTAAACTCCGGTGTTTCGGGCTTCATATTCACATCGAAAGTGCTGTACTCAGGAAGCGCATCTCGTAAGTATAGCAAGCTATCATCCAGCCGTTTCTCTAATTTGACCACTTGGATCTCATGGATTCGCGGATTATACAGGTCATAGCAAATCTCAACCCCTAAAAAGACGATATATTCATACAATAAGTCCAGATTCCTGTAAATACCTCAAAATATGAAAGCTATTTTATAAAGGAACTAGCAACATTTTCAGGTGGAAATGTGACATAAGTTTGTAATTTTTAAGATGGCTACTGAAAAAAACTAAAATCCATTTAAATAAAAGCTGAAATACATAGAAAAATGAGAAAACCTGGATTACAATAAGTCTAAAGAAAAATGTCTTTTATAAATATGCTGCCACATAGCTCCTCAATTTTTATAAGACATTAATTTAAGAATACATCAGTATGTCATGTTCTCATTTATATCCCAATTACTTAATTAAAAACTGTCCAGGACTAACAAGAGTAATGATATAAAAAAAAGTATAATTTTAAGTTTTAAATTTAATATAGAAGCCCCTCTTAAAGATGGTCTGTTTTTAGTACAGTAGCTTTCCACATGAAGCAAGAGAGGTACAGCTTTGAATATATCAAATTGCCATTAAGTAGTAATTTAATACATGCCAAGTAAGAGCATACTTTGAAGTTTTCGGAAATAAAAGTACTATCAATATCTATTTTTTTCCAAGCACTAATCTAGGTACTGTGCCTAAGTTAAAACCTTTCTCTCATGAAGCTCAAATTCTAAGTGGGTGACAAAAACAAAACAAACAAACAAAAACCACCAACAAGGTATTGCCACATAGTGAAGACAAGACAGGCTGATGGCACTGTGCTGGAAAGGCCAACCTTAAACAGTATCACCAAAGGAAGTCTCTCTGAGATGACTATGAACCGATGCAATAAAGGACCAAGAACGCGCCAGGTAGAAAAAATAACAAATGCACAAGTCCTGAGGCGCTAAAAACTTGCCATGTTGGGGAAACCAGGGAAGGGCCCGTCGGGCAGGAACACAGTAACTGGGAGAGCAAGGTGCAGTAGTCCGAATGTGTCCTCCCAAACTCCGCGCTGAAATCCCCAGTGGTGGCGGTATGAAGTGGCACCTTTTGGGAAATCATGAAGGTCTCTTTCCTCACACATGAAGGAGCCAGACAAAACTACCCTGGACGCTTTTCGTCCTTCTGTCTTTTGCCAGATGACAATTTGGGATTTGTCCCTCCAGACCACACAGCAACAAGGCACCATGCTAAAAGCAGGGAAGAGGGCCCTCACCAGACAGGCAACCTGTCCTGATCTTGGCCTTTCCAGCCTCCTGATCTGAGAGAAGTGAACCTCTGTTCTTTATAAATTAGCACAGTTTGGGTATTTACTTTTAGGAGCACAAACAGATTAAGACATCAGGAACATCACTGTTCTCAACAGTTTTTCCTAAAAGTAACCTGACCGTTACTTGTTCCTCGCTTGATGTTACCAGGCTGGGGAGTCTACTTATTTTTTTTTTTAAGTACCAAGAATCCAACTCATCACACCGTGCCTGACAAACAGGCGCTTATGCCGCTAAGCTAAATCCCCAGCCCATTTTTTAAAAAATATTTTCTTTTGTTTTATTTTTTGGGAAGTTTATTTCTAATGGCTGTTGTCCCTATAATAAAAGAAGCTTTCAAGAGCACACAGACCACCAACTGTATTTAAGCAAATGACCACAGTTCCCAATCCACTCCAAGGCCACAGCCTCCCAAGTCTCCTCTTACACCATCTATGTGTTCATGTTCAACTTCCGAGAGTCTTATCTAAAGAGACGGAAAACAAAAAGGAATCCTGATGTAACATTTCCCAGACAATTAAAACAATAAAGCAAAACGTACCTTGTCTTTCAATAATATTCCTAAGAATAAAAGTAGCTCCAAGTCCACTTCCTGACCTCTGGATGCAAATTCCCAGAAACTGGTTAGTTTTTCCGGGGGCATAGGGGTCAGCCGTGGTAACACGCAGGATGCTTCCTACAAGTTCATAAGAGAAGCGGATTTTTTATATGAAATGCAAAAATGAATACTATTTCTAGGTAATTTACCTTCTAAATATTTTAGTATTTTATTAGAAGTACCCAAAATGGTAAAAACTGCAGAGAAGTGAAGAGTGATTTCTTATACAAAGAAAACTAACCCTCTAACTACCAAAAAAGAAGAAAGAATTCAGCTCTTACCAACATAGAACTCTGGAATGTCAAGTACTTTTCTCCTTTCCAACATATCTTTTCTTTCTATTTGAAATTTCAGAGGATCTGTTCTTCCCCTTGGAGGAATAAACTCAGGACTCAAAAACCTGTGAAATATAAATTAAAAAAATTTTAAAAGGAACAAGACAATGAGAGGAAAAAAAAGAAGTGTTCCTTTATAAAGAAATGAAGAATACAGTATTGACACATTTTATTCATTTTCTAAGTTTTTTCTTTTTGAGACAAGTTCTCACTATGCATTTCAGGCCAGCTTTGAACTCACTACATAGTGCAGGCTGACCTTGAATTCACAGTGATCCTCCTGCCTCAGTCTGCCCTGTGCTGAGATTACAGGCATTTGCCATCCCATCCAGCGTCATTTTCCAACTCAGAAGCCAATATTATTTAATAAAACTATCCTTCTTAAATTGCTAATAGTCACAATAGCTAATAATTATTGATACTCCTGGCATTTTGTTAAAAGCCTCATAAAACATGTAAATAGCTGTTATGGTTTAGATCTTAAATGTCCCTCCTAAGGCCCAAGTGCTAAAGGTTTGGGGGCCAACCTAAGATGCTCCTGGGAGGTGTGGAACCTTTAGGAAGGGTGTCAGCAGAAGAAAGTTAAATCATGAGGGGTGGAGGCTTGTGGGGGATTGTTGGGACCCCTGACCTTTCTCTGTTTCCTTGCTGGCATGAGGCTAACGGCTTCACCTTCGAGGCACTCCTGCCATGAAGAACTGTCTCTCCACAGGCCCAAAGACAAAGGGACAGGTCACAAGCAACTAGGCACTGGAAGCAGGAACCAAAAAGAACCTCTCCTCTTTGAAGTTGAGTACCTCCAATCACAGTAATCAAATTCTAACACATTAGCACAATATAATCCTTATAGCATAGATGAGTTTGGTATCACCAGACAAAGAAGGCAAATAACTGGCCTACTAGTACATTAAGTTATAAATCTGTCAGTCTCCAAAGCCTATGGCTGTACTCACAGAGCTCACACTAAGCTGTAAATTATAATAAATTATCTTGGAAAAGACAGATATGCCAATTGCAAACTGATAAAATTAACATTCTAATTTTAACTGATTTTAAACTCATTATAAAACATCAATGTACTGAAAAAGTATATTACAATGAATATTTATGCCCTTACCACTCATCTAAAGAAATTATCATACAGTTGAAGCTTCTGTGGATGGTTCATTCTTCCTACTTAATTACTATCCTAGATTTATTACTAGGACATATCTATTATAATTACAGCTAATTAGTATCCTATTTATTTCCAGGAATTTCTTCTTCAATTTTCTATTTTGAAAATTTTCAAACGTACCAGAATTGACATAATAATACAAAGAATACCAAATATATTCTTCACCAAACTTCAGCAACTACTAAAGTTTTGCTATATTTGTTTGTTTCCTAGGCCATCTGGAATGTCAGATAGCAAGCAAGCCATGTCGGTATTCAACAACTAAGAAGGTTTAATGTTAAGCATGAGGACTTTCATCTACGCTATCACAAGACCTTTGTGACACGTAAGAAAATCTGCATCAATTCAATAATGTACAGTGGCATAAACTTAATGCTTTTCTTGCCTCTGAGGGTCACAAACTGAACCAGTCACAAAGCAAATCATTCAATGATTAGGTTCAATGGTGACCTTTGGGAAGATTTGATTCACTTCATGATCAATTCAGTTTGCAACCAGAATTATGGAAATAATTAAGTTTGTGCACCAAGGTATCACTGTAATTTAATATCTAGCTCATATTCAAATATACATAATTATTCCAGGTCTTGTTGTATCTGTTACTCAATTCAGGACATAATCACGATTCACATATTGTATTTGGTTGTTAGTCTCTTAAACTAGTATTTCTCACAGCTTCCTAATTTCATAATGTTGATCTTTTTGAAATGTTAAGCTTAGTGTGCTATCTTATGGACTATTACTAGAGTCCAGATTTATTGTTTCTACATCCTTAAACTGAGGTTAAACATTTTTGGTAAGAGTATTACAAGGAATGATGAAAGCATCTTAAATTGTGTCACCATCAGAAGGAAATAACGTCAGAATGTGGTAAAGTTTGAATGTTGGAAGAAGGAAGAATGTCCTTTCTACATTTTTTTACCCTTTATATATGGATACGTTTATATATACTGCATCAAGTTCCCTGAAAGCTGGTTTCTTCAGACATTTGTGAAATTCATTCATGTTTTTAAAAGATTGCTGTAACTCACTCATTTTTACCACTATATAATCCAATATGTGATTACACTTGCCTGCTTATCTATATATAGGTCAGTTCTAAACCTCTGTTACAATATTGTTATGTTCATTCTTGTACATAATTCCCTGGACATAGGTATGAGTTACTTTAACCTGTGTGCCTTCTAGGTGAGAAGGTATATACAACTTAAAATTTAGTTAAGTTCTGCCAAATTATCTTCCAGAGTACAAAATTATGTTCCCACTTAATTGAGTTTTACTAAGCACTGGTCTTCAAGAGACAGATTCCTTGCCAGGCACTGTGATGCAACCCTGTAATTCCAAAAGTTTGGGAGGCCAAGGGCAGGAAGATCATAAATTTGAGTTCTTCCTGGGCAAATTATCAAAATTCTGTCTAGAAATTAAAAAATAAAAATAAAAAGGACTGGATATATAGCTCAGTGCAAAGGCTCTGGGTCCAATCCCCAGTTCCCAAAAAAAATGAGCGGAAGAGACAGATTCTTTACAAAAAAGCAGTTATATGAAAATCATTGTTTTTAATCTCTAGGTTAGTGCCATTGAACATTTTTTTTTAATTTTTTTAATTAAAAAAAAAAAAAAAAAAGCCCAGAAAAGATCCAACCAACAATTTACAGCAATTTCAGAAAGCCTCATACCAAAGTTTCTCCTATAGCAAAAAATGTTTTCATCTCGCTGGGCATATGGGATATGTCTGTAATCCCCGCACGTGGGAGACTGAAGCAGGAGTTCAAGGCCAGCCAGGGCTACAAGAGTGAGACCATGCCTCAAAAAATAAAACAAAAACGTTTTCACAAAGCTCTGCAGGAACTCCTTTGCTAAGTCTTGCTTGGATTATTTAAATTTACATGAAACTCCCAGGTTACCAACAAGTCATTTAAGTGAACCCGAATTTATTTACAGTTTTTATTTACAGTATTTATTTACATTTTAGGCGCAAATCAGCGCAGAGTTGTACTACTGTACTCCATCCTCCAGGAATGCCCATCCTAAGTACGTTAAGTTTGGGCCAACTGATTTCTACCCTGAATTAAAGGTTTTAGGGAAGAACGATTGGCCCTGGAACGTAAACAAGAACAAGACCTGTCTGGGAGGGGGAAAGCTTCAAATCCAGGGAATCCCTACTCCTACAGTACTTGAGGTTGTGATTTAAGCAAGAGATCAAAGCAGGTTAGAGAAGCAGGGAAAAGGAAACGGAGCTAGGCACACTCTATCCTCGGGCGCGCGAACCCCACACAGCGGCGCGCGCAGTGGGAGCTGCGGCCCCCGCACGCGCGCGTGGCCCGCGAAGTCAACACCGCGCGCGCGCTCGCAGCCGAAGCCACCGGCTGGCTCCACGCGCAGATCCCGGTCTCACCTCCGGTCCCCACCCAAAGGTCGGCGCTTGTCCGCGATGACCGGTTTCCGCGGCGGCTGGAACGCGCCAGGCTCGGAAGGCCCATTGCTCTGCTTCCGGGCGGGCCCAGAGCGGAGCCCTGCAGGAGAAAACCACGTAGTTAAGACTCTCGCGGCCGCCCTGACCTCGCTGAACCTCGCCATCCCGATCCCCTGAAGAACGACAGCGGGGTCGCCACACCGCCTTGAGCACCTCCCACCAGTCCAGGAGACCCTGGACTCCTCCAGTTCCGCAGCGAAACAGCCCGGGTTCCACTTACAGCGAATGGCAGACGCCAGCCCAGTAAACAGTACTCTAGAGGCTTGGAAGCTCTTGGTTAAGCCCAAGGTGCCCCCATTCCCCGCTACAATGCAGGCAGCCATGCCTGCTCGCACAAGTCGGGACTACAACTCCCAGAAATCAATGCGACGAGGTTGTAGCCACCAGCTACGGGATGGCAGCTGATAAGGCACATAATAGATAACTCTCTACCTCGGCCGTTTCTGCTGGCTATATTGAGAGAAATACATTCTTTCCCACATTCCCCCTTAACATGTCGAGTTACATTCCTCCACCAGGGTATTCTTAAAGATTCTCTTCTTTTAATCAACCCACTTTCTCAGGCAAATGTTTTCTATATTAAAACCTCATTGTAGACTCTCACTCTTGAGTGGTACTTTCATTAGGGCTCATTTGCAATTTCCCTCACATAATTGTTAGATTAGTATTTTAGCTTTCCATTATACTCATAATTCTAAGAGATGAAATCCAAAGTCGCGTTCTGCTCACTGTTCTATCCTACCTAGCACCAACCTGCGCCTCACTAATTCTTCTTTGCACAAAAAAGAGAAAAAAATATTTCCTAAAATAGCTTACACAAAGCCCCTGAGGTTACAGAGTATTACCCCTTTGATGAACTATTTGACTAAAAAACTGGGAGAGTTTAAAAGAGTAAATTTGCCTTGGGTTTCAACTATGAAACCAAACAAAAGAAAAGAGAGAAGGCAGGATAGGAGGAAGGAAGGGAGTGGAGGAAGGAGAGGAAAAATGATAGGAGGACAGGAAGAAGAAAAGACTTGCAGAAACGTAAACTATTGAAAATATTTAACATTTGACATAAAGTGACTTGTCAGGCATTCCAATTGATTTAATGCCCAAAGATATCCCACATTCAACATGGTCATACTGAACCCATCGTGTTCAGCTCTGAACTTCCTCCCCAATATTAGCTATTTTAGGGAATGACTTCAATATCCATTCTATTGCTCTGGTCAAAATTCCCAGTGCCCTTCTTGATTCTTACACCTTTTCCTAGGTAAAGTTTCTAAAATCATTCCTGGCACCATCAAATATCCCAAAAGTTCTTATGCCTTCTCATTTTATCAACATATTTCTAACCCAGGCCCCCGTCCTTTTGCCTATGGATCATTGCAAGTCGCGGCAGCTGCCTTCTCGAAGATAATCTGCTTTTAGTTACCTAAAACTCTTCTCCACACAGCACCAAAACCCAAGGTTTGAAAATGCATAGCCTGGGGGGGGGCGGGGCAGCGCGCCCCTATAATCCCAACCTCTCAGGAGACAGGGAGGCAGGTGACAAGCCTGGGAAATATAGTGAGATCCTGTCTTTGATCTATAAATAATATTAAAGTATGTAAATATGAGGTAGTAACTCAGTACTGTAAGAACACCTGAGTTCCAAGGGCTGGGGATTTAGCTTAGTGGCATAAGCGCCTGCCTTGCAAGCAGGCAGTCGTGAATTCGATCCCTGGTACCGATAAAAAGGAAAAAGACAAAAAAAAAAAAAAAAAAAAAAAAACAACACCTAGGTTCCATTCCCATTACCACTGAAAACAAAACATACCTACTTCTTATCTTTCCCCAGTTTAAGTCTTCCATAGTTTGGAGCTGGATAAAACTCTAATTCTCAGAAAGTGGCTAGTCTCTGTTTACCATCTTGCACACAGATGAGCTGTTAAATGAGCCTGTGAAAGAGGGCCATGGTTTGAGGATGACATTCAAGGTACTGTGAAGAAAAGGCCTTCTATTTAAACTGCAGCTTTGCTGATAGAATAATAACCTATCCTATAAATAGTAAGAAACCACACAAAGAAAGTTTCAGATTAACAAAATTTGACTACTCTGCCCACCCTAGAAGAGACAACAAACCTTTAAATAGGAGAAAAGGGAAAGAGAAACTGAGATAATTGTGATTAGTGGTGGTAAGAATCTCTCTCTCTCTCTCTCTCTCTCTCTCTCTCTCTCTCTCTCTCACTTTCTCTTTCTTTTTGTATTAGCTATGCTTAGAACAACTTGCTAAGACTGGTCCGACAGGTGGAAAGAAATAAAAGTCAGACCTTCTCAGGAATCTGGCAGAATTTACTGAATGCTACAAAGCCATCCCTGCTGCCTCATAAAGACGAAGGAAGGATTTTGTAAGATTTTACAGAACTGATAGAAAAGCTTAAAGGATCTTATTTCATTTGCTCCCATATTCCTACTTACCCCAAATCCATCCAGCCAATTTGAACTTTTCTTAGTGTGCAGAAGTAGATTTAATTATTTCACAATTTCACAGAGCAAAATCAAAGAGCACAGAATTGGTTCAACTATTTTGTAATCTGCTTACAAAAATAGAACTTTATTTGCTAATGTATTTATACTCATAGGAAAGAGAGTGTGAACATCATGACATGGTGTTCAGTCAGACAAATAAAGCGTCCCAGGAAGACCTCTAATGTTTTCATGAGATCAAAAATTTTGCCTGTTCTTTTCTTTATTGCATGTCTATTACAGTATCTGGCATGCACTAAATTTTCCAAATAAATTTGAGGTACTTTGCTAGTAAAGTTCTTGGGTAGATGTCAGAATCATAATAAATTCTTTGTTTCCAGTTTTATTGAAGATATGACTGAAAAATAAAAATTGACATAAAGTCTATGGAATGAAATTATAAAATGATTTCTACAACCCACCTAATTAGCCATTACCTCACTTAGTTATCCTTAAAAAAACTAAAGCTTTGTTTTCTAACTTAATGTAGAGATATCAGCAAGAATAGAATCTAACATGACCCGTGTGTTAATACACTTAGAGAAGGAATCTCTTATTACAGGGAGGAGTGCAACATCATGGTAATTTAGAAAACATAATTACAATATGAAAAGTTGGCAAGCGACCAGCCAGAAAAGAAGGGAACCTTAGCTATGTGATCTGGGGAAATTACAGATTCTCTGATGAGTTGTTATGATTTATAGCTAGATATCCCCCCAAATATTCATATCTATATGTCCCCCCAAAGCCTCATGTGCTCATAAGTGGGCTTTTGGGGAAGGGATTGGATCATGGGCATGTGATACTCATCAGTAGATTAGTCCACTGATCCACTCATGAGTTTATAGCTAAATGTGACATTGGAAACAAAGCTGGATTGGAAAGGTGCGTCACTGGTGACTGGCCTGAAAGGGTAAGTCTCCCTCCTTTGGCTGCTGACTGCTTCCCACCACCATGCCATAAGCATCTCTTTGCCATGCTTCCCTGTCTTGGACAGCAAGGTGTGGAGACAGCTAGTTATGGACCTCTACAAATTGTGACCCAAAATTAAATCTTTACCCCTTAGAGTTGTGGATATCAGGCATTACATCCTGGCAATGAGAAAGTAGCTAAAACAGATTTTGATACCAAGAAGTGGGATCACTGCTCTAATGCTACCTAACCATGTTGTCCAGAAGCCTTTGGAACTTTCTTGTGGGAGAAATTTGGAAAAGTTTAGAGAACTGGAGAAACAGTCCTACAACACTGCGAGCCAAGGTTGATGGGAGATTCTAGTCAGAGCACTGAAGGTCAGAATGTGTTGACTACATTTCAGTCAGACAAAACGAGGCTAAAGAAACTTCAGTTGAAAAAAAAAAAAAGTCCACTGGCTATTGAACTCCAGGCTTTGTATGCTATGCCAAGGAAGAAAAATTGCCAGGATTTTGCTCATGCTCAGACACTTGATGAAAGATTGAGATTAAGGGTTGCAGGTTGATTAATCTGGTGGAGGAAATATCAAAACAGCCAAACATTCAGGCTGTTACTTGGTTACTGTCATGGTTTATGTTGGTGGTTCCCAGGCCTCATGCATTTACGTTATGCATTTGTGATTGGTTCATTGTCTAGAGCTTGGATTGATGGTGTCAGTGCTACACCCATTTAGGGATGGAGCCAGCATACAATGTAATGGCAGGAAGAAGGTTTGTCTCTCTTTGGCCAGTTTCCACCTTGCTGTTTGCAGCTGCCATGAACTGTGGCCCCGCCATGCCACCCTGCCTTGGAGCAAACTGAATATGGACTAAAACCTCCAAAATCTGTAAGGAAAAAACCTTTCCTTTCCCAACTTTGGGCATCAGGTATTTTGTCTCAGCAATGAGTAAAAAGTAACTAAGACAGTTACTGTTCAGGGATTTTGACGGACTCTACATTGTGAATCAAGAGCAAACCACCAAGCAAAATGATTTAAAATGTTTCAAGTTTGACCAGAATGAAAACTCCTATAAAGTTGGATCCCATACAGATGGAGCAGAGGTTGCTAAAAAGATTAGCATTAAATAGAAGTCAAGTAATTTGAAACAGAAAAACAGAGAGATAACTTGAGGGAATGTGATGAACTAATCTCACTCCTTACAGGCATAGAACTACAAAGGTAAAAGACTTTGCTTTAAGAAGAGAGCCCCAGAGCATCATACTCCAGAATGACAACTGCCTAGGGAATTTGTTCCAGAGGAATCAGCTCACCATACTCAACCATCCAGGCATTCTAAGATCTGTGCAAACACCAACAAAATGCAAAAGGGCCAGGATATTGTCCCAGTTGGCAGCAGACCTTGGCATCTGCCATGTGGTGCTTATTTTACAATTGGGGAGAAAGCAAACAGCAAACAGTTGTGGGGTCAGGAAGGCTTCCACCCAGATTTCAGAAGGCCTGGGAGACCAGGCCCTGTGACCCCGCGAGAGCAGTGAGTGAAGCTGTGAGAGTGAAACTGAAAGTTCAGTGGAGACTCAAGGATGCTGGAAAAGCCAAGAATGTGGACCATCTGAACAAAATCAATCCAAAAGAGACGACATGAAATGTTCAGCCACCATTGCAAGAAATGCCTAAGGGTGAGAGTCACGGAAGCCCTTTGGAGGTCACATTTTGCCACAGATTTCCCTAGGCGCTGGACATGGATCAGTGGGATTTAATGTTTCCTTGATAGATTTCTGCTGTGAGAATGCAAGTTGAAGCTTTGCCTAGATAACTTGACAATTTAGTAAGATCCTGTCTCAAAATAGAAACTAAAAGATGGGCTTGAGATGTAGGTCAATGTAAAGGCCCTGGATTCAGTCTCTGGACTCTCTCTATATACAATACTGTATATATATATTTTTTTCATACATAAATATATATACTTCATATA